GGAAACATCTATGTCACCTAAAATATAGGCATGATGCATGATATACACTTCAATGAGCAGCACCCATCTGCGAATAGCAAACAGAACCAGTCTACGGAGACAGGGACGTCCAGCCGGGTAAATAAGAACAGGCATCTGACCTCTTACAGGAATTTTCGCAAACATTTCAAGCAGGCTACATTGTGTCAGTCAGACTACTGGGCAGGCTCTGGACTCCGACGGCATCTTGATGGTACACACAGGCCAGCAGGAAATGGCACCTTAACCAGGGGAAATTACACAATTCGAAACATTTCAAACACCGCTATGTTGAGCATTAAACCCGCAAAGACGCCGATTAGTAGACAGCAAATGGAGAGTGACTTTCAGGGTGCCACTTCTCAATGGGAACCAAAATCGCCTGTTCCTTCGCCTTCTGGCTCTAAGGGGTAAAGCTGGTCCTGACCGCTTGGCCCCTTTAAGCCACGCACCCATAGCGCGGCCCCAAAGCCCCCCCCCCACCCCTGGCCGCACTTCACTGCATTGTTAGCATAGCAGGCAAGGCGGCCGCAGCCCAGCAGCTAAATCCGCCTGAATCCACCCCACGCTCCTCATCTGCTAATGATTTGTGAGGAAGTGAGCAGCTCCTGCCACGTGGAGGCTGCAGCAGAGGCAGGCCGGAGCCTCGCCCTGGGCGTCCGCTTTTACAGGTCACCCCCCGCCGCCATCTCCCTCGCATACCCCCCCATCTCATTTTCACACCAGTAAATAGAGCGCGCTGTGAAAAGGCCAGCGGGGGCCAAAGAGGTTTATGATCAGGAGAGGAGGCTGTGTGTTTATAGGGAGTCAGCAGCACAGACACGAAACGAGAGGAGGGCGATCAGATGGGGGAGTATGCAAGAAGGAGCGACTCTGGGTCCGGCAGCCGATCCAAGGGCTAATCCAGCCCCGCTTTGATACTTCCATGCTGCAGAATAACAGCAAAAAGGCAAATAAACTGGGCATTAAAACAAGGGTCGAGAACCGAGTGTCTGCTCATGTCAGGGACCCCTATGCATGAGGAGGAAAATAAAGTGAGTCTGACACACAGAGATTCTGCAGCGGGAGCAGAGGGACACAGGAAATAGGCCACAGAGATACACTATAGAATGAGAAATGAAATAGGTAACAGAGATACACTGCAGAGTGAGGCAGGAAAAAGGTCAAAGAGATACACTGTAGAGTGAGGCAGGAAATAGGTCACAGAGATACACTGTAGAGTGAGGCAGGAAATAGGTCACAGAGATACACTATAGAATGAGAAATGAAATAGGTCACAGAGATACACTGTAGATTGGGGCAGGAAATAGGCCAGAGAGAGACACGGCAGAGTGAGGCAGGAAATAGGTCACAGAGATACACTGTAGAATGAGAAAGGAAATAGGCCAGAGAGGCACAGCAGATTGAGACAGGAAACAGGTCACAGAGAGACACGGCAGAGTGAGGCAGGGAACAGGTCACAGAGAGGCATGGCAGAGTGAGGCAGGAAACAGGCCAGAGAGGCACAGCAGAGTGAGGCAGGAAATAGACCAGAGAGGCACAGCAGAGTGAGACAGGAAACAGGCCAGAGAGACATAGCAGAGTGAGGCAGGAAACAAGCCACAGAGAGGCACAGCAGAGTGAGGCAGGAAACAAGCCACAGAGAGGCATGGCAAAGTGAGGCAGGGAAAAGGTCACAGAGAGGCATGGCAGAGTGAGGCAGGAAACAGGCCAGAGAGAGACATATAGTAGAGTGAGGCATGGTTGCATCAATACGTCCTTCTGCTTTCCTTCAGCTGGTTTTAATACTTGTGTAACTGAGAGGAAAGGATATTGCTTTTCTGCTGTGGGTGGGGGGACATCACATTACATAGAGCCCCAAAACAGCCTGTAGCCTCGCACCATTCCTACAGTCTATGGCTGGAAAGAACCAGCATGACAGCAGACAGCCATGTCACACATGGAGCCCTGAGAGGTCAGAGGGCGCCCTCTGCTGACAAGAGGCCCAAACTGGGAGCACAGAGTACATACTGTAATAGTCAAAAACTGCCCTTCAGTGCAGACATGCACATTATACCCAAGCAGACAGTCACAACACACGGGGAGTACAGAGAGGCCACAGTGCGCCCCCTGCTGACATGAGGCCCAAACCGGGAGTACAAAGATGACATCACACGGGGAGTACTGAGAGGCCACAGTGCGCCCCCTGCTGACATAGCAACATTTATGCTTACTGATGTAGCAGATACTTTTGTCCAAAGTGACTTATGCAAGTGAAGCAAATAATATATTACAAGCAGACAGCCAACTTAAGTACTGATGTAGTCAGGCTGAGCCTCCAATGGGTAACCAGTATCAAATACAAGTTAGTATCAGAGCAAGAGCTAGACAACGCATTACAGTACATGGCAAGAATCCATTGTTGCCAAGAGACCATTACCAAGAGATTGCTGCCTGGGCTGATATGGAATTAACGATATTCCTGATAATACTATTGCTTAATCCTATCCTCTTACCACAGTCAATCCAGTGCAAGCAAGCTGTGCTTAATGCACCACTTACCCCGAAAGCATTTAATATTGCAAAATGAATCGTTCCATCAGCAGTAATGAGGACGCTGATGCTACAGGGAAGCTTTCAATCTCCATTCTGGTCATTAGGAAGTGGCATCGGAGATGGAGGCTTTCGACAGCAGCACACAGCACACGTCCTCCGCCACAGCCCAGGGCCCGGAGCGGCCGTGAAGCAGGACGGCAGGAGCGTGGTCTAACCTAATCTGTTTGTACTGCCAGCGGAAACCGGCACAGACACAGGGGGAATCGAATCCCCAGCTACCCACAGCCGCACACAAATTAAATTTCAATTAATAAAATTAAGCACAACAACGGATATAGAGCTGACCTGGGAATGCTTGGATCAAGCCTGAATGAGTGTGGATGAGCTCACATAGAGTGCTCTGTGCCGTTTTAACCATCTTATTTTAAATAAATGAAATACATAATAATAAATAATAGCACTTTGCAATTAAACCCTTTATATTCCTGTTCATCTGTGTGGGTTAATTCCTCCAGAAGGAGCATCTGGCCTTTTACTGCAGAGGTGAGGCGCTTTCAGCTAAACGATCAGAGCGGGTAGAGCTGGCCGGCTTGCCCAAGCAAACTGGCTGCTCTGCCCTTCCCCTGTCCTCTCGCGAAGGGCCCCCGGCGTCGGCCAAAGCACAGCGCTCCGCGCCCCAACGTCTCTCTTTCAGATACGGTCGGGGTCAGGATTAGCCCCACGCTGTAAACTACAGGTCTGCATGGGTCCTATACCAGAAAATTCCCCGGCAACATTGTCAGTAAGCCTGTTTTCACTCTTCTGGAAGAGTTTGGGTGCAGTCTGACAGTCTCCCAGGTTTTAATATGCACACCCCTGGAATGAGGCTTCTCTTCCATACTCCTTGGCTGAAATATCAGCTCACCCACCTCCATGTGTCTCGCTTGGCTCAAACTGAAGAGGCCCTTTGAAGCAGCTACTCACAAAGGCGTGTTTAAGAAGTAATGTAATTGGGCTTGGCAGCAATTCTCAGAATTTTTTTTAACCCCTTCATGTAGAATGCAGTCCCATTTCGTCATGTCACATGCACCGGTGCTCATATAAAAATCCATTAGCCAGAAGATCTGTATCATGTGTAAATCATGAGAAAAATACCCAAATGTCTAAACACTAAACTGACCGTAACTGTTAAACACTGTCAATTTTTTATTCCAGATTTGTATTATAAAATGCACTTTTTTCAAAATGTAGAAATGTTACATATTGACTGTATACTGAAATACCAATTCCAAAACCATGCAACAGAAGTCATTGATACCCAGTAGATAAACTTGCTCTGATGCCATTTATAGTTATTTTCAAGCTAGAACACAACAGCAGGCGATGACTTGTTTATCTTGTTTAATGAACATCTCGATGAGTAAACACTCGGTTCTAATCTAGTCATGTCACTTCTAATCGTGACCAATGGGCTGGGACTTTGTGTGAGGTGATGAGCTCGCTGGCATCTGACTGCAGAGCATCAGACCTCTAGTGTTAATATTTGTATATAGTCTAGGAATTCACTGCCTGATGCGTGTCTCAAAATGGATTAATATATTATGAAGACACGACACCTCTTCGAAAGGCACTAGAAGTGTTTAACATAAAACTGAAAAAAGGGAACACGAGGTCCTGTAAACACAGGGACGGTTCTTAGAAATTTTCAGTGAGGGAACACGGGGTCCTGTAAATAAAGGACTGTTTCACAGAAAATGTCTGCACAGGAACGTAGTTGGGGCGTCAGCTTTGCAAATGTCTCACGAATAAAATCCACAACACTGAGCAAATAATGCAGAGATTGAGACAGGGCTGAAGCTGGCTGATTATTCTCTTAGCTTCTTATTGGCGAGATCCATGCAGCCGATAACGTTTCCAAAACGCCTGTCAGAATACTCATCACCTGATATACCAACTATTACACTTACGCTATAAATCCATGAGTTTGAAGGTATTTAGCGTATAGTTTAGAAATCAATACCTTCTGAACCTGAAATTTTCACATTAGAGTACTGTACACAAAAAACTTTTTACAAAGTATACAGTATACTTGTAAATATATTGTAACTATACAGTGCACTTGTATGCTGTCATTTTCATTGTATTAAATGGATGCCTTTGAAGTTCTGAAACTAAACGGACGTCACATCTGATGCTCGGATGCAACATTATTCCATCATATGAAATGTGTTCACTCAGAGCTCAGATACAGTTTGCATGTTCTTAAGATGATACAATGGCTGTAAAATTATGGCTCCGAATTTGGCGGCGGTTCAGACTGTATTTTGAAATACCCATCTATCTCCAGTGGCGTTTATCTAGCACATGGTCACAGCGACAGATAAATGTGGATTTTTTTATGCTTGCATACAAAATGTCCCGGATGCCGGAGCCATGACAGCCAACAGCCGATTCACCAAGAAACGATATTATTCCTTTAAGACAAACTTTTATTCTTACGTATAAAATTAAGTACAGGTCATTAATATAGTTAAAATATTTACAGTACAAAAACAGACGTCAAAAACTAAACTGTACATTTACGTTACCATGTTTATCAGGATTCAATCGCAAGAGACAAGAGTCACTAGACAAATATTTAATATTTATACAATTAGTACAGCCTCATCAGAACTAGGTTTTAATCCAGGGCAGAATTCACACAAAGCACCTGCTAATCTCTATGCAAACTGTACACTTAGAATTAATACAATTTAATTATCATCATTATTTTTAAATTAAAATGACATTATCCTCCTATCAATCCACCTTCCGTCACCATTATGAAGTACAGCGTCGCAGTGAAAAACATTATTTACATTGAAAATATTAGTATAAAACGTAGAGGGTAATAGTCTTCATAAAATACTTAAGGGAACTTAAAAACGGCACTGAACAAGATATTTCATTACAGTAATATATTTACCCTCTTGTCTAATTTAATGCACTGTTTCTCAAAATACCACTGGGGGAAAAAATACATATTTGACAACACCAGATGCAACCAAGAGGTGGAGAAGCACACCAATCCCGTATCTTCCCCAGCACCCGGAAGATGGAGCACCCAAGATGGTGAGTTTATTAAACTAAACTCACATTATCTGTTCGTGCGGATCCTCTACCACAGGAGCTGAGGGGAGATCGTGACGAAACGCTGACCAGATTACCGCGTGTCGAGCGGGGTGACGGCTGGCCGGCAGCCGGAGGCTCCGCTGGCGTGGCAAAGGACCGGCGCGTTTCCGCGGGAAATAGACCGCAGCTTCTCACGATCTGGAGCTTAATGCATTTTGGGTAATGCGCATTTTTATACAAAAATACTCCAGTGATTTACAAATATGTACACATCTACACGCATATGACCACGGCTTCTCAGTTTCACTTGCATTAAAAGCGGAAGGTTTGCGGGTGAAACGCCTCCAATCGTTTTAATATTAACCGTGTAAAAATAAATAGATTCATTATTTTTGTCCCTTATCTTGAACCTTCCGCTTCCACACAAGAAACGGAACGACAAACCAGGATATCCTGTACAAAGAAATGTGAACAAACACACAAACACATAAATATATACACGGGCAATTTGTCAGAATAAATAAAGCACAGCATCTGCAATTTTGAAAAAAATCTTATGTAGTAAAAGAAAAAAAAAAAAAAAGTAGTGACGTTTTCAACATCAGCTAACAGGTGAGAATCTGTAACTTTAACCTCAGCTTGTCAAGTTCTCGAGTGGAAACACCTCAAGTAGAGGGAGACGTGCAAGGCAGATCCCACACCAATCCCGCTCCCCAGTACCAAAGATGCCATCAGCTTCTTCAGTGCTAGAAAAAACAGGTGCCAGTACTCACCTTGTTATGCAGTACTAGGTAAATTATGATACTCTGATGGGATTGGTATCGGTACGACATAAGGTGAGTACTGACCCACTTCAGGCACTAAGTTTTGCCATGAAAACCGTGCAGCGTGGAGTCCTGACTGCAGGTCCAGGAACACAGTCACGACCCCTGGGCTGCAGACAGAAGGTCAGAGGTTGGGACCAGAACCGACAGAACTTATGCTCCATGGACAGGGGGCTGGACTTTGGAGTTTCTGTTTTGATTGTCCAAGTACATAAAGTCTCAACAGATGGTATAGAAGCCACTGGCCTTGCAGAAACACGTTAATTAGACTCTAACTGAAAGACTATGCAGAGGATCCGTACTTCAAGGTTCAGAACAGGGGATGCGCCGGGTCTGGGGTGCCGGAGGGGACGGTCACATGTCCTCCATGTCGGTGACATTGACACCCTGGTAGATGGGCTCCTTCGCACGCAGCGCAGGCGCCCCCACCCCCCTGGAGCTCTGGCCAGCTTCGATGCTGTTCCAGATGCCATACGTGAAGTAGATCAAAAACCCTAAAGGAAAAAGGATAGGAAAGAGGAAGGGGATGAGGAAGGGGAAGAGGAAGGGGATTACAAAAGGGAAAAGGAAATGGCAAAGGGAAGGGGAAAGAGGGTGAACACAGCCAGATGAGAGATCAGGCTCCCTAGCAGGAAGACTCCAAGCTGACAGCACAGCGTCACTTTGGCTCAGGCGCCTGCCAGCATTTTCAGCCACAAACAAGGTCACTGCACACACCCAGAGTACTGGAGCCTCCGACCCTGAACAGGAAGGGGAAGCCACTTACCCACAGCCATCCACACTGCAAAGCGACCCCAGGTGGCCAGATCCAGCTGCATCATGAGGTAGACGTTAACGAAGATGCTGATGAGGGGCAGCACGGGGAGCAGCGGCACCTGGGGGCGAGAGCAGCGCCGGGCGTGAGGGAGAGCAGCGCCAGGCGTGAGGGAGAGCAGCGCCGGGCGTGAGGGAGAGCAGTGGGGTGGGGGGTGCATGTCAGTGGTGGGAGGGTGGGGGGCTGCCAGTACCTTAAAGGTAAGCGTCTCCTTGCTCTCGGGCTGCCTCCAGATGATGAGAATGCAGACGACGGACAGCAGGGCCAGAGTGATGCACAGCGTCAGCCAGAGAGGGTGGCACTGTAGCACCTGATGTCCCTGGAGTGCCAGGAGCATGCACAGCAGGGTGAAGAGCACCGCTGGGGGGGGCAGGAGGAGAAGGAGGCGGAGGAGCGATCAGCCAAACTGCTTGCAATTGGCTACAATCCCCAGATGTATCGCGCTCCCCCTAATGGTGATGGCTGGTAATAGCAATATATGCTGCGACATCACATTAACTGGGAGCTAGGAATTTAAACGAAGTGATCACATGGTCGCTTACAGATGGCGGCTGTGACGCCGTAGACGATGCCCCCCGAGATTTTGGTGGGCGAGTCGGAGCTGGGCTTCAGCAGCAGCCGGATGGAGAAGTGCTCCTTCAGGGGCAGGGGCTCCTCCGGGGGGGCGTCCTCGTCCCCGCTGTCCGTCGCCGTCACCTTCTCCTCCACCAGCTCCATCAGCTTCTCGCACTGACTGGCGGAGCTCAGGCTGCCCGGCTGGTACCTGCGTAGCCACGGCCACCAATCAAACGCTGCATCTCATAACGGGCTCTTCTTCGAGCCAATCTGAGCCCAAGAAGCTGGAATTGTGGATCGAAGCGGCTTCCCAGTACGTTTCACGGCATTCAGAGGCCACCCCAGCCACTCACCTGAGGATGAGGACGCACACGGCCACGAGCGAGTACGCCAGGAGGGTGCCGATGGACATGAGGTCCACCAGAGCGGCCAGGTCAAAGATGAAGGCCATGACAGCTAGGGGACGAGACCAGCGGGGTTAGCATGGAGCCTCACATCGAGCAGGAGCAGGAAGTGTGAATCGGAGAGGTGGGGCGGCTCACCTGCCACACAACCCGACGCGATGGTGGCCTGCAGGGGCGTCTTGGTCCTCTTGTTCATGTTGGACAGGAAGCGGAAGAGGAGACCATCCTCAGCCATGGCGTAGATGACCCGCGGCATGGGGAACATAGAGCCCAGGAGACTGCGGGAGGAGGAGAGCCGAGAGGGTCACCGGGGGCCGGCCCCGCGGAGACGGCACAGGCTGCGGCCACACGGACAGGGCGCTCACCTGGTGGACAGGGCGCAGAGCGAGCCCACGGCCACGATGTAGCGAGCAGGGCCCCAGTTCACGTAGCTGAAAGCCTCCGGCAGCGGGCTGTGCATGTTCAGGATGTAGTACGGCATCATGAGCGTGAGCGCGGCCGAGACGCCGAAGTAGGCGAAGAAGCAGATGAGCAGCGAGGCCACAATGCCGATGGGAATGGAGCGCATCGGGTTCTTGGCCTCCTCACCTGCAGGGGGAGCCGTGTGAGTTCAGGCAGCCTGTGCTAGACCGGTAACCTTATACTGCGGTTTGGACAAAAAAACAAGCCACATACAGAGACACAAACGAAGAGACACAAACAAACAAACACACTTACTTGTAGTGGCTATGCAGTCAAATCCCACAAAGGCATAAAAGCAGGTAGCAGCACCAGATAGAACCCCGGTAAATCCGAATGGAGCAAATCCCCCATTGCCAAAAGTCTCGTCTATGGACCTGCAATACAAGGGAAAGGTGCTCAGTGACTCAAGCTCGGCTTGACCCTGACCCGACCCAGAACCGGCTGGCCCACATCCATCCTGGCTCAGCCCGGCCCTACAGAGTGCAGGAATTCTCTAGCATAGCGATTAGCCTCTGGCCAAATACCTAAAGAATGTCATCTAGGGGCTTTAGAGCTCACCCCTGCCCGCCTACCCCCCCCCGTCGGACTCACTTGGGATCCGTGATGTTAGTCGTGTTGATGAAATTGTCCAGTGTGAGGTTCCAGTTGGCCGTGTCTCCTTTCACGAACCCTGAGATGATGACGAACCCCAGCACTACCAGGTTGATCCCCGTGAAGATCTTGCTCACCAGAGCAGACTCACTCACTCCGAAGGCCAGGAGCCCTGCAGGCGGACATCAGGGCCAATTTCAAAGGACAGCAGAAGCACCTCCTAAAGCTTGCTGTGACTCTACTGTCACACGGTCCCCATCTACTTGGGGGGCAGGGGATGTGCTCACCAGTCAGGAGCAGAATCAGCATGAGGGCAAACAGGTCAGGGTATTCCGCCAGAATGTTCCCAGGGACCTTCATGGACATGGAGGCCATGAAGAACTTGGAGATCTTCTGCTCTACCAGGTTGTCAAACGTGGAGCTCCAAGCTCGAGCCACACTGGCCGTGCCTGGGACGGAGGAGGAGGGAATCCGGGAGGAGAACAATGGAGTCATGAAAGACTGTAATGGGTCGATAAGGACCCCGTCCTGACAGGACCTCTCACAGTGAGCCGTCCCAAGACACCGTCACCAGTGAAAAGCATGAGCTAAACTATTAAAGCATCATTTGTGTCAGTATACATGTTCCCCGGCCTGCTGTCCTCACTCACCTATGACATAGGAGAGGATGAGGTTCCATCCCGTGATGAAGGCCCAGATCTCACCCACGGTCACATAGCTGTACAGGTAGGCGGAGCCTGTCTTGGGCACGCGGGCCCCGAACTCAGCGTAGCAGAGGCCGGCCAGCACAGAGGAGAGCGCGGCGATGAGGAAGCAGAGTACGATTGCGGGGCCCGCCTTCTCGCGTGCCACCTCCCCGGCCAGCACGTAGACGCCGGCGCCCAGCGTGGAGCCCACGCCCAGCGCGATGAGGTCCAGCGTGGTCAGGCAGCGGGCGAAGCGCGTCTCCTCCTGCGAGTAATCCAGCACCCGCCGCCGGACCAGCTTCTTAGCGAAGGAAGCCATTGTGAACTGTAATAAGCTTCAGGAGGTGGATGTGCAAAAGCAAAGCCTGGGGAGAAAGGAGGAAAAGTGGAACGTCAGACATGCAAACCACCCCCCCCCCCCACATTCAAAAAAACGAGCCGTTCCATAGTTCACCATCATCCACCTCGGCACCGTGTTTCAGAAACGCAGAAGCTTTTAATGACGTCAAACTGGACACAGAGCTAACCGGCTAACCAGCAAACATCTCCAGGACTCCTGTATCCCTCGCGGTTACATCAATGGCCACGTGGTCAGATGATTATTATCAGTATGAGGAAGGCGGCATCTAGCTGTGAAAAAGAGCTGAATCAGAGCCACGAGGAAACAAGCGATTTTCCTGGTCACCTGCGGAGCACAGCCTCAGGGAGCTGGGGGGGGGGGGCTCACCACAGGAACGCACACATGTTCCCAAGCACATTTTCTCGTGGCCACACAATACGACCCGAAGCCACAGTGTTCCAGGAGGAAGGTCACCTCTCACGCCGTCACCTGACACCATGTGATCCGTCATGCAGCGAAAGGCTGCCAGATAAGAGTGGTGACGGTGACGATGATGACGGTGGGGAGCCGGCGGGACACAGCGCTGGGGAGAGTGAGGAAGATGATGTGCAGCCCCAGGCTCCGCCGGCATCACAGCAACGCCCCCGGGTGGAGGCAAATAGTACTACAGGTGGGAAGCAGGCAAAGGAAACAGCAGCATGAATGGGCTCAGCACCAGACAGCGAGGATGGAAAATGTCAGAGAGGCTCCGTGACCAAGGACAGGAAGCTGATTAATGTTTAAAGGGGTGGCGGGACACACAGCTGTGTGATCCGGCTCGTCTGGCCCATCAAGACGCACGCAGCAGGAGGAATCCCAAAAAGACAAAGTCCTACACGTTCTTACAGGACGCCGAGCTGCGCGTTTACAGACCTTAATAAATCGCAGGACTAAATCCCCAATTAATAGGGACATGCAGGGAGGAAGGTCTCCGGTGTCAGAGGGGGGGACTTCGCGCCGAGATCGTCTTTCCGGAGTCAGGTTTCTCTGGGAGCCACGCCTGACGGCGCCATGCAAGTTTGATCAGGCTGCGCGGCACGGGAGAGCTGTACGCGGGGGATCAACCCGCGGCCTGGCGATGAGAGGGAACGAGGGGAGATCGTGCTACAGTCACTGCTCTGAGGGACGTCACGCATTTCTCCTCCATGCCTTGATTCAGGGTCTTTCCCCAACAGGAGCTCTGACCCGACCGGTTAACCCTGGTCTTACTGCAGCTCATCAGCCAATTTCCACAGGCAGGCGTAAGAATCAGCATTACAAAATGACGTTCAGCAGAACGGCAGATAAAAATATGCAGCAGGCCTGTGGGAAATCAGAACAAAGTTATAAGTAGGATGTGGTTTTTTTGGGGTAGTGTGTAGCTCAGTGGGTTAAGGCCACTGTGTTTATGATTGGAAGGTCGTTGGTTAAAATACCACAAAGGTCGTGGATTAAAATCCAAGGGAGCTCACATACAAACTGCAAACCTTCCATCTATTCCACATCACTTTGGACAAGAGCGTCAGTTAAACATTAAAAAAAGCACTAACGCTACAGTGTAAATGATAATTGGAATCCAGCAGGTTTCGGACTCATTCCTCCTCCTCTTAGCAGACACGCCTTTAAAAAATAATCACACGTGTGAACGTTGCATTCACAACGTTTGTGTTTCGCAACATTTGCAGATTGGGGCAGACGCACCCAGGCAGGTGTTTCTGCGAGAAATGCAGGCGATTATAAACAAACAAGCAGAGGTGTTAGGCGGGACTCCCTCGATACGCAGCAGGCTACTGCTCACAGCTGACAGACCAGCCACTGCTTGTCACTGTCATGTTCTAACTGAATGTGCAGTGAAATTCCTGCCCATCCCCAGTGTAGCGGATGGAGACTGTTTAACCCGACTCGCACCCGGCTGCGCTGACGTCCATTTCCAGGACTGGCCTGTCAAGTTGCAGAAGAAAGGTCTGCATGGTGCAATTCGTGAGAGGTTGTGAAAGAGCTGCCTGCTGGGACCTAGGTCAGCCAGATTAAACATTTCACATTTGCAGCCCACCTCCCATAGCGCCCTGTTGCTACATAACCAGTTGTGCCATACTCCTGGAATAACGACCCAGTGCATTCTGGGTGAAGATATGAGTTGATACGGTACTTTGAATTGGACAGGTCCTTCCAAATCCAGACTTGAATTTTCTCATTTGAAGATTATTCATGAACACTTTATGGTATAAAAAAAACCGCAAACAGAAATCCAGTTCAGCTCCGGCGAGCTCTTACTGGGCGTCTGTGAAGTCCTTCCCACGGGCATCTGGGCCCCCATTTTCTGGCAGTCTCTCGGTCAATTTCTGGATTCCCAGACTCAGACTCGCAGAGTTTTATAATTCCTCCTAAAATGTGAACGGTCTGAGCGGCATGGAAGCAGTTAGCCCCGTCTTAAATCGGCCGCGCACCAATAAAAGCTGCACGACTCCAGCGAGGCTGAAACCAGGAATGCGGCTGCCATGCTAAGCGGATTACAGTGCGGGCCCCTCGAAGCCGCGATGGTGCCCCTTAAAGGTGCCGCCACACTGCCCCCCCATCTGGCCCAGGGCCCGAAATCATAGTGCGTCACTCCAGCGCTGGCGCTAACGCTAACCGTCCACAAGTTCATGCCGATGAGCGACAGGAATCCGGCGAGTTTCCCAGAAACTTTCACTTTTAGTTACTATTTCCTTCTATTATTTTGTCCTCTTAATTACTTTGTAGTTAATGATAAGCCTGCTATTCAAATCAATTAAATGTTAAGCACAAAAAAAACAACGTGAAAAATCCTACGATGATGCTTGTGTGAGCAGCCTTGAACCTAACGGTTACTGTCCCACAGATAAGCCATCGGTGACGCCGCAGCGACTGGCCCCCGACTGCTCAACAAGAGCCCAGAAGAAAAATCACCAGAAACTAGGAGTTACGTTTAAAGTGTAACAAACTTGAGAAAAGACAATGTGGCGGGATTAATGGCTCGGGAAGCAAAAAAAAAAAGGTATCTGGGACACTGTTGCCATGGCGACTTCACAGGCACGATGGAAAACAAATGTTACAGTCAGAGGCGTCCAAAAAGGCGAAATGCCGCCACACTGCGAGGAACGGCGTCTGATCTGCGACCTCCGCGATGCGCTGGCGAGGCTGTCCCCTGGGGGGCGCTCTCCGCAGCCTGTGGCTGGTACACACTGCTAGGCGGGTGTAGGTCTATCAGCTACCCTGGTGTGTGCAGCCCAGCTTTTGGTCGTCCTTCAGTGAGTCAAACAGCAAACCCACAGGGTCTAGTTTCAACCACAGAGATCAACAGGTAGCACCTGAATTTGTGCCTCCGGACGGCTGCCAGCTTTGAAGGTGTGTGCATCAGTAGCAGTGTTACACAACCACTGTTAAAAACCGGCACTATATTCATGCTGGACGTTTTTTTTGTGGTGCCAGCTTGTGTCAAACGTTTGAGAAAGACACTCAAAACACCCACACGCTGGGCAGCGGCAAGTCCGGATGGAGACATTTGGTTTCACAAATATCCCCAGCTTCGGACAAATTGTGCTGTAGCGGCGGATGAGCTAAGCATGCACCTTACTGCAGTTATAGAGTCATTCGGGGGGGCCTTTGATCTGTCAAACAGAAATAAAGGGGTGGACTACAAACAAACGGCATGTGTGGCTGACACACCCAAAAGACTAGATGGTGCAAGAGACTAGGCAGAAAATACTGGCATCATAGGTGTACCAGGAAACGGGGAGGGAATCTGTTAAACTAAACCTTTTAATACTCAAAACAATGTATAATTACACTACTATTGTTCGACATTCGTAAACTGGGAGGGTAAGCAAAATTAAAGCTAAAATTGTCATATAAATGTAACTGCCAGGACAACCTCACAATAATAATCTTCCCGTGGCGAATAACTTGAATTTGCATACCGAAAACCCAATATTCTGGTCTCCCATGGCAAGCTTTTGTGAAGACAGCAGTAAAAACAAAAATAACTCCCCATCAAAGGAGCTGGAGATTGACACCAGTGAACTGAAGGAGGATTCAACCCATCTGTTCAGGATAGAATGCAGTCAGAAACCTGTAAAACCTCTGGCACTGCAAAAGAAGAGTCAAATGCGACAACTAGCTTTCAGTTCACCGTGGAACTGTCCTGCTGGGTTCGGGGGTCCGGGCACCCAGCCTTACCATGTTATATAACAAACAGTAACCAGAAGGGTCAGTGAGCCAGCATGCAATCGCCTCACACCACAGCCAAGTTACTGGTGTCCCTTTCACAATGGTTATGGCCGGTTATTAAGTCCTGTTTGCGTCAATCGCAGTTTACGTAAGGCGTGGAAACACTTTCGCCGTCACATTTCCAGTCAAACCTCGCAGCCCCGACATCGGCCCGTTCGTTTCAGGGTCCAGCTGCCGCTGCACCTTCAGAGAGATCGGGGCAGTTCGGTAAAGTTCGGAAGGTTCGGAAAAGTGAACCAGACCGCCCACTCGTCCTGTCTGACTGTTTTAATCCGGCGCACCGGACAAATCCGACCCCGTGATCGGTGTTAATTACACCCCTTACGTGCAGAGCTGCGTGTCGGGGGGAGATTAACTCTCGCCTGGAAATTTCATTTAAAAAGCCGCCATGCAGCGGCCCAAAACGAGCGGGATGATGCAATAGCACGTTTCTCCTTTGTCAGCCGGCATTGGCCATTTTAGGATGAACATCCGCGCCACATTACAGGGCTAAAAGAGACGGGGCGGCCGGTGTGCAGCAGCTATGTGAAGGTTTAGGGCTTCGACATATTTATGCATCTCTAAAATTAGATTAACACGCTAAACTCAAATTGGGAAGTACTGTTCGCGCAATACAACTGAACTGTTAAGTAACTATAATTAATTAGTTCATGAATTACTTCCACATGCAAGTCTGCAGTTTTTTAATCATCAGATGAACAAAATGTTTAAAATTGGACGTATTAAATATAACTCGTGTATAAAACATAGTGCTGTCACATTCTTCTGGGTAGCTGAAATACCAACCATACGAACAGACTGACGGTACGCGGTAATCCAAGAAAGGAGAAGAAATACGAAACTAAAATAAAATTCGCCGCTAGCCAATACGAGTTCTGAGCATCATGAAGCATAATTATGCCCGCGGAATAAGCTGCTTCAACGAAAATAACCCATCGAGCTAGGGGATAGTTAAAAATAGATTTTAAATACAGAAAAAGACATATTTTGTTATTTGAGAAAAAGGTAAACTTTGCTATATGAATCGGTTTTTATTTATAAACAGAAACCTTACCTTATGCTAGATACGAGGAGAAGCAGAAAAAGACACCCAAACCTAAGCTGCTCCGATAGAATATCCGACGCGTGGAAAACGGCAGAATATTCACTCATTATTCGTGGGCGGGCCGTAGCTGTCCGCCTGCCCAATGGCAGAGCGTTTTGGGGGTCCCCGTCCGCTCACTGGCCAATCAGCACTTACCGCTGTCGTGGAGCCGCCTCCCGCAATTCATTCATTGCGTAGGTACAGTGAGTAATCTGACCCCCTGTATGTCGTAGTAGGACATATTTTTCTTATGTCATAGTAAGAGTACGTTCCATTTACACACGCCTACCTAACACCAAATCGATGCAGGTATGTATTCATATAGCTCGTCCACTTCGGTACAGGATGCCTCATTTCCAATCTTTCGCATGTGGTGTTCGTCTTAAGAAACGTCCCCGTGGGCAGTATTCATATATTAATTACAACCACAATCTTACCGTTAGAGACAATTCGCGCTTAAGCATCATTGTTAAAAGGAGTATATTACAACGCAGAGGAATTTGTTGTTATTACAAAATCAAGACCGAATTTCGTTACGTGCTCTGCCTTGCAATTAAACCCCATTTCAAATGATCTCTAGTTTTCGTTCATACGTACAAAGCGTAAGTCGTTGTGGGATTTGTAACGTGCTGGCCGCTGAATGCCGGCGTGACGGGATTTACTGGTCTCACTGGGTAGCACTGTCGCCGTACACCTGCAACGCCGTGCTTATGGCTCTCCGCTGTGTCTGTGACAGACAGGACTAAACATTGCTCACGCTTCGTCCCAGTTTGGCTTAGCTGCGTCACTAAATTGTCTGAAACGAACATGCTCTGGGATAGACAGGCACCCCTTCCAAGGCGTACCCCAGCCTCTGGTCATACACTGCCTGGCATAAATTGCAGCAACGCCCCGCCCCCCCCCCCCCCCCCGACTAAGGTAAGCAGTTGGAAGACAGATCGATGGTCCTTAAAGAAGATCGTTATAGAGATAATCTGAAACTAATCTCCACAAACTCGTTTTGACTAGGGGTGATCAAAAGTTTTGGGTATCATCCTAACCCTACAGTGTGTAGTCCTATGTATGCACTGGGCAGAAAAGCATGCCACGGTATGATAGTGTAATAATTACTCCTAGGAGATGGTGACAATGACAATTAACTCCACCTTTATGTGGAGATCTGACGCCTGCACCACAGGATATACATGGAAACATTTAAAAATAAACTAAAATGGAGTTGAGAGCAGGAAGACACTGGTTGAATTAACCAATCAGCACCGAGGAATGCCAGAACACAGGGCAAGTCTTTTATAAACCTCTGACCCATCACAAAACTCACAAATCACATGACCACTTCAGTTATTTTTAACTGCCATGGCCATATACAGGAATGCACCCAAGAGCCAATCAGGGTGTGCAGCATTAAAAATTAATTACACCAACTTCTTACATCAAACCCAAACAGCCCTCATGGGCCCCCAGTTTGACACAGACTACAATCGTTTTCAGTGACTCTTTGCATGGGTGGATTCTGGGTGTGTATTTAAGCTGCCCACAGTTCACAAAACATTTCCATGCCAGTAGATTATCACAGAAAGTCTACAGAGATCCTTCTGTACACATCTGAACTTTTGTCAGCTCCGTATTACGCACCAGGGGATATCTAACACTCACAGCATACCTACCCATCCTTATCTGGGAACTTTAAATGGTGTGTGTACAACCAGCTCAGCAGACATAAATCTCAGATAGCACAAATTAAATGTGTACAATGTTTATTGAAGGATTTCAAAATTTCAGCACTGCAATAGTAAGTACAGTAAAACATCAACTCCACTTCTAGTAGAGCCTCATTCATTAACAATAAAAAATAAAACAGGTTGTAGTGGTGATATCTTTTTTCCACCTAGTTAGATATACATCTCTGCATGCCATTTTAAATATCAGAGGTGTTATGTAGTTTGTCCAGAATTACTGGAATAGCGATCTTCGTTTTTTCAGGTGCGCTGCAATGAAGATGGAAACTGAGAATCTTTACAAGATCCGTAAATATTTAAACGATTAAAAATAATTCCCGCCGCCCCATGCACGCCCAGTGTCCATGCACGCCCAGTGTCCCCCCCGCCCCATGCACTCCCAGTGTCCATGCACGCCCAGTGTCCCCGCCGCCCCATGCACGCCCAGTGTCCATGCACGCCCAGTGTCCCCGCCGCCCCATGCACTCCCAGTGTCCATGCACGCCCAGTGTCCCCGCCGCCCCATGCACGCCCAGTGTCCCCGCCGCCCCATGCACGCCCAGTGTCCCCGCCGCCCCATGCACGCTGATGATCATGCTGAAGATTGCTGCTGCGGACTGCATGCTGCCCTCATTCTGCATACTGCAGATAGTGTTGCAGCAGACTTTTTAGGAAACTGAAGCCACCTACCTCCTCCAGGCCCCTACTCCACAATTCCAGTCAGAGCACGGAGTGCTAAGAGGACAAGAGAGCGGTGGAGACAAATTAGGCACAAGTGTCGCACTGACCTAACAGCCGTTCCATATCCAGCGTACAGCGAGGTCACAGCCATACTACAGAAGGTGGCCGTATTACCTGATCTCAGCCTGTTAATCTCCTCCCGATAGCGGACACAGTCCTGACAATCTGAAAATCAGATTAACATCAGGGTACATTTAAAATGACAGCACACGGGACAGTCTAACAGAAGATCTAATTGGTTTTCCTTTTACACCCAATTTGAAATAAGTGCTTGAAATCTTGTTTTTTGTTGCAGTAGAGGTGATCAAATACTGCAAACAGCATTTGGACAAATCAACACTGGCGGGAATAGTCTGTCACATATTTAAAAACGACGTCACCCCCTTGTTCGCTTTATGTCACGCCACGACCCTAGAGGGTGCAGAATGCTTTCCGGGCAGCAGACCCACATACAGAGCACAAACATCCTGTGGTGAGAGCGCGACTCTAATGAAGATTACCGCCTTTTTTTTAAATGAAAGTTCTCTTTATTCACAACCACTATTGGTTTAATACCATCACTGGCATAAAAAGGAAAGCCAACAGTTAACCTGACACTCAAACACACACACACATTAAAGGGTGGTGCGGTGCAAAACATGCCAGTAACTGCACAATTAGTCCTGTTGACAGTGGGTGGGATCACAACAACAAAACTAAAATAAAAATAAAAAATTGCCTCGGGTAACGTGCACAGGTGGTACGCTGAATCTGTGATCACCGCAATGATTACGCGTCGTATGACTCTATTGCCGAAACGACGTTAATTCCGTGAGGTATACGGCCACCTTAAGGCTTACCTGTGTGCTTAATCGCTACTTCGGCTGCTGCCTCACACGCCGCTGTCCCCGCAAATGACGTCGCTGTGGGGAGGAAATCACCGTTTTGTGATGCGCTACTCTCACGCTCAGACGGGAGGTAATAGTGACGGCGGTCACTTACGCTCAGCGCCGGCTGCCGGGGCAGGCCTGTCCGTCACAGAGGGGACCAGCAGGCCAGCCTGCGAAGCGCTATGCTCCAGGGAACAAGCTGGATCACAGGACAACCGGATCAGATTCCTGTCTCTATTTTCATCTTCACAGCAGGATTAGTTTTTACAGAATATATTAAAAAGGACTCACTGCTTTAGACTTTGTTTCATTGTTTTACAAAACTGAATCACAAGTGGATTTTAATTTTTTTTAACTTAAATTTCAAATTAAAATTATATACACATTTGTTCTCATTAACCCACTCATAATTATGCAATCATATTTTGATTAACCCCTTTACTGTGACACACCCAAGCCACCGCTGGGCAGCCAGTGGGTTTTTGAAGTCACATGGTTAGTTAAAGTGTTTCAAGTGACTTCGTAGACGAGCGATGTGCCACTATTCTGTATTTTGAAATCTTGGTGATAAGATTTGCTCCTGAAAATCTGAAATACTACGGTAGTCTGTCACTACCCAAGCCAAACGTAAAACGTTTGTACTCCGTCATATGAAAACTCGTAACAACTAGCGGCAACACTAACAGCTTATGTGACAGACCTCTATCAGAGGATGATAAACTATAGCCAAATAGAACTTATTTTCAACTTTTCTTCTTTTGCTTTCTAAATATCGCAACATTTATTGCTAAAAAATTCACACTGATATTCAAAATTTGTTTTCCAAAATTGTGCAGTCCCACAACTGTAGTATAAGCACTGCTGTATCTGGAAGATTCCACTGCAGAGGAGTCAGTTTCTCGTGGACAGAGGAAGAGTCCAACTCCACGGCGAGGTCACTGAGAAGCACCAGTCAGGGGATGAGAGGAAGATGTGGCCAAGCGACTGAAAATCCCTGGGAGTAAATTAAAGCAGCCAAGCCAGGGTGCAGACCTCAGTCCTACTGAGAATTTGTGGCTGGACATGAAAAGTTTGCTCCCAGCCACTGTGGCCAGTCAAGAACAGCGGGAAGCCAACTGAAATGTTCATGTATCCTAAAGCTGACAGATACCTGCTGCATAAACACAGATTCAAGGCAGCAACTGCTGCCAAAGGCACAAACACAGATTTGAAGGGTGTAGATTCACATGCACTCATTCATGGGTAAATACTTTTATGAGCTGCACCAGCACCTGTAACACAATCTGAACAAAAATGCATCCGCTAAACAAACAGCATGCGTGACTCATGAAGGGGCTGATCTGGGCTGGCGTGTTCAGCATAACGCGTCAGGATTAAGAATCCCCACCGGCCTTGTTGGGCTTCGGGTCAGAGGCTCCGACTCGAGCCATCAGCTTCCGCAGGCCCTGTGTGACCGCTGCTCGTTTAGACGATTCCTTCAGAGTCCCACCGCTGCTGCAAGACGACGTGTCTGCAACACGTGGAGAAAAACCACCGGCCCTGATTAGCACAACCTTGGCCCAGACCAGCATGCATCAAGCAGGCGATCAGCGGTTTTTATTTCAACCAACTGACAATTGGCAACAGATCCTAATTAGCAACTTGCGCTCAACAGCAGATCGTCTTTACAACACAGGTACACATAAACAGGAAGTAAATTTGCAACAATCTGCGCTTTGATTGGTGTTCTAAAGAGCTGCGAGTCTACAGGCAGAGGGTCATGTGCCACCTCCCTCCTTGCAGACAGGCCATTCCTTCATTATAACTTCTATGGCAGCTAAATCCTTCCATTCCAAAAGCTTAGGGATTTACCATGCGTCTCCTTCCTCACTGTGGATACACCCTACATTTACCCTTTCGCTTGGCAAAAAGCTGGAATCCATTTGGCATCAGAGAAAGAAAACCGTGAAAGAAGTACAGGGGAGAGAAAAAAAGCATAAGGACAAAGGATGGGGGTGGGATTATTCTGGAACATTCTGCACCCTGTTTGTGAAGGTCCATACCGGCATTCGCCTTCACTTCAAGGTCTTTCAGTGCTGTTGTGGGTCTCTGGAGCCCCGAGTTACGGCTGACTGGATGGACTTGGCCCTTTGGCACGTCACTAGGAGGCACGTCTGCTTTGGAGAGGAACAAAGAGCATAAGTCTCAAGGCTGACGCTCTAGTGACATCACGCTCCTTACGCGACAGCAAGGTCAGAGACCAGGATTTACAGCCAAAACGTCACCCAGCCCCAGCATCAGCAGAAAAATAAAGACCCTGCCAGTGAATGCACAAAACCAGCCAGGGAGGTAACCTGATAACCGGCCGGGACGAGACACACCATGGTCGCGACCCGTGGAAACATGAAGGTACATTGCCAAGCCGAATACGAGAGTGACCGTATGCGGGATGGACGGTGCTCCGGTGGAGAGTGCGGACCTGCCTTGGTCTCGGTATGCTGAGAAAGGCACAGCAACACCTGAACCACCTCAGGCTGCCCCTCGCAATACTAAGGAACTTCTACAGAACCACCGTCGAAAGCATTCTGACCGAGAGCATAGAGAGCCTGGTTTGGGAGCAGCACATAGCAGAACCACAAGGCTCTAAAGAGGCTGTGCAGGCAGCCGGACGCACAAGCGGACCTGCACTCCCCAACCTCCAGAACATCTATGCCAAACAATGGAGGTCTAGGGCCAAGAAGACCCTTCAGTATACCAGCATACCAACAATGAGCTCTTCTTTGTGCTGGGGTCGGGGAAAAGATAACATTGCCTGATGGCTGACACCGAAGGAAAACTTGCGTGTAAATGTTACATTTTTACGATATTGTGATATGTAAGTATAGGCAAATTGCTACTACCAATAGAATCTGTCAAATAAGTTGGTAGTATTGCCAAGAGTTGTGCCAATAGACACAAAGCAGTGACAAACGACCCGTTTTTGCTAAATATCGTGTCTGTCAAATCCAAAATATTTGCATACAGTGGAAAGTGAATGTCTTCATTACCGCATCTTGTGCACTTTTCTCCCCCTCACTCATTTTTGTTACATTTCTCATGAACATGCCACACTGTCTAGGAGTCAAACAGCAAGGACGAGCATGACTGACTGGCTCAGACAGCACGCAACCACAACTCATGCAGAAGCGGCAGAAACTTTAGCTATACATTACAAAAAACAAATCTTGGAGGAACAATCATTAAAACTGTAAAGCTCAGTAAGTTTTGCTTCCTATGACAGAGTGAAAATGCTGGAGCAAAATTTATTAATGGTCTCAAACTGCTGGCTATCACGGTCCTTGTGAAGTGAGTTTCATGTGTATAACATGCTTTGTCGATACTAACATTACGCAATGCAGGCCTAGTATACACTCACCTATCCCATAAGTACTCCCACCATGCAGCAAACACATGTAAACAATGTCATATTGATTTATTCATTCTCCATGCTGCCCTACCACCTGTGCCAATAGCAGTAAAGTGACAAGTGTCATTTATGACCGTCTATGGTTGAAGACTTATACTTATCAGGAAACCAAGCGTTTCACTACACACTGCAGAGTATAACTGAAGTGCATGAGACAAATGAACATTCGCATTGGGGTTGATTTGTGTAAAACACAAACGGCCACAGGGAAGCTGTGCTTTCACACAAATATGCATAAAAGAAAAAAAAAAAAGATAAGAAGTGCAGAGGGGGCTTTGGCACGTCAGCTTCCAGCCCATCTGTCCCACGTCGCTCCCACCCACTTCCCAAAGGCCCCGAGGAACCCCGAACGGCCTGGAGACGGCCGGCCCTCATACCAACTCTCTTCTGCTTGGACACGGACAGGGACTCCTGTGGGCCTCCCCGCGGCCGCTTCTGGCCGGTGGCCGGCGCTGGGATGCTCTTCCTTTTCAACTCTTAAAAGAAAAACAGGTCATAAGAAAGGAAGGAAGGAAGGATGGAAACCAGGGGGCATCTACCATGGATCACAGCACCAGCTGAATTTTATTGCCCAGTCATTCTATTACGAAAAATATCAGATACCGTAAGAAGGTGTCAATGAACTGGACTCTCCAGAAAATCAGGAAGCAGGAAGCAAGAATGCGGTCAGCATTGTTAGGCCTTACCAGAAATCATAGCATGAAGGAACCTGCTTCAACACACAGGCTTCATTTGCATATACTGAGCACACACCAAACCCACCAAAACACACCAAACCGGGGATTCCACAGCAACAAATGCAGTATTAAAATGCTTAAATAAATAGTGATCATATGAATTGAATTAAGTTCTAAAATGCAACTATACGCAGTTACTGTGCTCAACTCTTACATGTGGATACAGCCTCACACACAGCGATTAATCAAAAGCAAAATGCCTATCTAAGAGCATTCAAACAGTAGATCTGAAGGGTACCACCAATCAGCTCTTCCGCAGCACAGAAATAGTGCTCAAGTCTCTAGGCCCTTTGAATGCACATGCTATTATTCGCGTAGATACTTTCTAAAGACTGAATGCTACTTATTTGTTAACAGATTCAGGCAGCTGCAAAGACATCAAAAAGTCCGTCTCTGCTGTAGTATATAAATTCAGGGATGTCAATCCTAATGACAATGAAGCACAGACAGAAACAGAGCGAACACAGGGATCAAAGGCTGAAAAAGGAGGAAAATGGATAACTGAGCATCTCCATAAAGCCTATAGATCAAACGGGTCCCATTAAGACAATCAGGCCCCAGCATATGAGCCCCAGCATAACAGCTATGTTGCATTATGGAGATTTGCCTTCATTCCAGGACAGACGCACAGCATTACCCATGTCACACAATGCGCAATGACAAATGGAGAAATGAATACAGGACTAATGAATTATTTAGCGGGGTGACTAAAATGCATTTAGCAAATGTATTGATGTTTAACATTTATTTAATAATTAAACATGAGCTAAATATACCAGGCACACCTAGGCCATATACCAGCTTATATACTCTGTATGCATTTACAGCCAAGAGTGCTTTGCGAGCAGCTTGAATGCTATTATGGAGATAAACGCGAAACGCTCATGAATAAAGCGAGTGGGTCAGTGTGTGGCTAATGACAGGGCGCATAAAGCGCTACACATTAAGACTAGGAAAGCACCCAAACCTGCGGCTTCCGCTCGGCCCGAAACTCCGAGGCTCAGCCTCGACGTGCAGGAAGAGGGGGCTGGTATCCCGGAAGCTCGGGGCCTCTGAAGGCGACAGGCAGGAAGCTTGCCGTCTACAGACAGAAACACTGATCACAGCTACGCCTCACTCACCACGACGCGCTAAGCAGCCACACTCACCAGCCACTGCACTCTTCTCTTTACTCAATTTCAAAACTGCGGATGCCTTAAAAACAAAACAAAAAAAATCAAAAAGGAATTACAATTACAATAAGGCTACAGGACACAGGCCTTCACCAGGGATTAAAGGCAGGTGGTGTAGATATATGCTGGTTCACAGAGTGTCCATGATCGTGCATCACAGCTCACATCCTAGTCATGCTACTGCCATCATCCACAGCAGACTGGCTTTTATGAGTTTGTCCAGATGTGTATCTCTCTCACACACACACACACACACACGCACACACATAAATAAATAGATTAAACAAAATTCTGGCAGATACCAAAGGGCCAAGGCACTCCACATGTCCTACAATTAAATTTTGAGAGATTGCACCTGATATCAGTCATTCACTATATGCAGGTCTTATGCAGATTTTACTGGCTATGGAATCTTAGTTTATTCGCCAGCTCTGGGTTGGATGGGGAAAAGAGTGTGTAGGCAACTGAATAAATTTACACAAAAAATGTCCCGACATCCAAAGGGTTAAGAGCCAAACTTAGGGGGGGGAGACATCGGACCCCTGAAGATCAGTAGAGGGAAACGTGGGCAGACTTCCCATAAACGAGAGGATAAATCTGCCAGCATACCTCCACACTGGCTTTTGGCTGCTTGGCTGGTGACCTGGACGCTGCTTCAGTCTTCTTCCCATAGCTACTAAGGGCACCAGCGCCTGGCACCTTGCGGGCAGCTAGGCTCTTTGCGGTAGCGGGCAAGGACAACCGGCGGGAGGAAGCAGGCTGTGCCAGGGGCTGGTCAGCTTTGGCGTTACGGAGGCCGGATAATGGAGGCAGGAGAGACCTCCTCTGCAGAGGCACGCTCAAGCGGCGGGAAGCAGCATCCTGCCTGGGTGCAGGAGCAGCAGAATCGGGAGGATTTGGCACAGCAACCTTAACGGCAGTTAATGGGACACCAGAGGTGTGCAATGAAGACCCGCCCCCATCAGCCCCGTCCACTGGGAGAGCAGCAGGGTGGAATGAAGACCCGCCCCCATCGGCCCCGTCCACTGGAAGAGCAGCAGGGTGCAATGAAGACCCGCCCCCATCAGCCCCGTCCACTGGGAGAGCAGCAGGGTGGAATGAAGGCACGTCCCCGTCGACCCCATCAACCATAGCCTGTGAGCACATGTTTACGCTGTCCATCAGCTGCTTGCACACTTCTGAAGGGTCGGAGTCAATTTCTTTAGTCAAATCTGGAAGCTTACGTGCAGGCATAGGGGTGGAGGTGACCAGGAAGTTGTCCGTGAGGTCCAGGGTGTTCTCCAAGCTCAACATACCTTTCTCTGCTCCGTTCACACTGTGATCAGACAGGCTTTCGGCCACAATCTCTCTCTGGGGCAAGCCGGGGTTGAGCTTTTCTGTACCCCCCTCCTCATGGCGATCCACCCTCACACAACCTCTCTCCTCAGTAGGCTGCATCTCATACGTATCATTACAGCTACTGCTTGAGGTCTTTGTGAGGCCCCGGGCATCAGAGCCATGCGCGCTCTGCTCCTTCACTTCACTGGTCACATCTGGCCCTGCATCTGGACCGTCACTTTGAAGGACATAGGTTCCATTAGAATTCACATCTGCAGAGATGTCCTCCTTAGAATACGTCTTGGCATCCAAACTCCTCCCAGACTCCACAGTCAAATTCTGTATGGGACCTTTTAGAACATCCTTTCCTAGATCACCCTCCTGATCACACAGATTGTACGTATTTTCCAGCAAAGAATCTGAGGCCTCACTTTGATGGATAGACTGGGTCTTTCCCATAAGCACAGACAGATCGTCCTCTAGGCTGAAAGTTAGATTGCATCCTCTTGACTCCGGAATTTTCCCCACCTGGTTTTCCTCCGATTTATCTGTACCCCTTTTGCCATCCAGGTTCAAAGGCAGAAAGCTGACATCACACTGGGCGACATCAAATTCCAGTGGCACAGCAGAGCCCTCCAGACTAGTGTTTAGGTAGTTCCAGGTTGGAAGAGATTCCTCTTTGATGTTGGGAATGTCGAGCATGTCCGTAGAACTTTTAGCAGAAAATCCTCCTCCCAGAACCTCCTGGTATGACGTTCGGCGGATATTATCGATTACAACAGCACACTCTTCTGCAAAAAAATTCTGATAAAGTGCAGCTATCCTCTCAATGTCTCCACCTGCTGTTTCCACAGCCTCTCCCTCTTTAAGAGGGGACACTTCAAATATAGGGGTGAGGCATTTACGATGCTTAGCCTCAAAACGTTTGTGTCTGAGGGAAGCGTGTACAGACCCTGGCCTCAGAGACACAGATTTTCCACCCTGCTGGATGACGCCGTTCTGGCTGCTTTCCTCGTCCTCTCCCTCCTGCAACTCCTTCTGGAGAGATGGGAAAAAGGGGCCTTCTGGGTTTGACCAGGTCCGATTCATAATATCTGAAGCTGGATGACCTTCATACAGGGGTGCTGCCTCATCCAGCAGTTCAGGGAGCAGTTTTTGGGTTTCCAGTAAAGAGGAAGCACTGGGAAATCTCTCCCCTTCACAGCTCACTTCACCCTCTTCATTCTCAGCCAAGGATAAATCTGGCTGGGAGTCAAAGCCGCCCTTGAACGCTTGGCTTACCAGCCGTCCCGTCTGACCAGTTGCAGGAACAGCCACGTTACAGGTGACAGCAGACTGCTTCACATTTTCCCATCCATATTTCCTACTTCCTTCAGTTGAAGTCAAGGCAGCTGGTGGAGCCTGACGGTTGGATTCTTTTATTACGTTTTTAGTGTCTCTTAGGGGCCTCCGAGCTAGAGCCAAATGGGACAGGGGGGCCGGTTTTGGCACTTGGGGAGATGGTGACTTTGAGGCAGGAAGTGATCGCCGTTGGAGGCGAGGTCCCAGAACCCGTGCATTCTCCTTTTCATTCATCTGGGGGGAGAATTTCAGATGGCATATTTCAAAATATTCAGACAAAAACACTTTCTGATCATTAGGATTTCCCTCAAACCCCTTTGGCCAATGCAACACAAAGGAACACCAGGAACAACTGAGTAAATAATGCAACAATAATGGCCAATCAATCAGCACAGTATCTGTCTTATGCCATCATACATAAGAAATAGGAACACGCAGAATGGCCAGTAGGTGGCATAATGGTTACAATCAACTCCAATAGGGTTCAATTCAAACAGGGGGAATGTTGTACATTTCCTAAGGTACTTAATTAATCACAACTATCAAATAAAAAAACAGCAGCTAAAGTATAAATAGCTAGTATAACAAATATAGATTAGCCCAGAGATATGCTTCTTCCCATGGTAACTGCGTTTAGTACACGGTCGAATTAGCTAAGGACAGGAAAACAACCAAAACATTGAGTTATTCACATCTGCAAAAGCCAGTTAGGTTGGTGGGTGGCTGCAATGTTGCGATATCTTGAATACTCAATTAAAACCGTTTAACATCTAGAAATTTTTGCCCAAAGGAGAATAAGTGACCTCACTAATAATAAAGAAAGGCTTGTGAAGATAAGTTGGATGATCTAATGCGGGGATCTGAATCCGTACAGCAGCGAACAATAATTAGAGAAAGCAACACTCTTAGTGGCAGAGGGTCCCTAGCTCGGGCTCATCTTAATGTGGAGGTCCCTGAAAGTCCAAACCTAGATCCTGCACCTAGCGGTGTTATTTGTTCTACCAACACCGCGGAACCCGAAACCCGGACTGCCGGGTAGTCTTGCGGACTGACCCCGGGCCGGTTTCAGCTAGCTGTGCCGGTGTTCTGTCTATATATGCAGCCTTGTCGAAAAATGCTACCGTAGTGCTAATAGATAGCCCTAACCCTAACCCCCCAAAACCCTTACCTTAACCCTAACCCCTAAAACCTAACCCTAATCCCAAAACGGTGGAACTGCACATGCGCAGAAAGGCTCGATAGCACGTCTCGATAGGTAGTATTTATCGACAGAACACCCTCGGCCTCTTTAGTGCCATTGAAGTGATGTCGGAAAATGGCACCGCCTTCAACAGCCATAGAGTTCCGAGAAAACAACCGAGCTACCAATCCATCCACCATCCATCGAAACCGCTTATCCGATTCAATAATTACTCGGTTAAAGTCGACATTCTATTTCATTTCAAACCATTTATAATATGTGCTGCTTTACTGTACATACGTATCAATTATTTACGTAGTTGCCTTTAATGCAATAAAAAAAACAGATGAAGAGACTCAGTAAGGTAAGCTGATAACTAATACTTTTATCAACTGAGGTAACTACCGGTTTATGTAAACTATAAGTTTAACTATAAGTTAGTTAACCCAATATATGAAATCAGAGCCTACGTTGGAACCGGTTAAGAATACCTTACTGCACGTGACGCTTCCAGCACAGTTGTCGGTCATATTAGCAAAAACAGAAACCACTAATCCATCATGAACAGCTTTATCGCTAACTATAAAATAAATTATAAGGCGACTTACAGTGTAAAAGGAACTTTCACCAACAGAAGCAAGCAAACGTTCAAAAGCAACCGCCGGTGTTTCTAATTGGCCGGAAATGTAGACTGCATTATCCAATCAGCGAAGAGCTACTGGCCACAACCAATGAATGCAATGACCAGAGTGAGCCAATAAAGACGACCTTTATTCAACACTGAAATAGGCGGAAGTAAACAAGTCGAAGTTTTGACGGTAACTGTGCGGTAATTGTAAGATGATCATGATTAATGCTCATAATTAAACTGACAGCGACTTTTATTACTCATGTTATGCTACAGCAGTAACTATTTTTATCATACATTTTTGTGCTCATCCAACCGTGTTTGTTTATCCACTTAAGTTCGAGTCGCATTGCAGGACCCATTGCTACGACCAACGTTTTCCCAGTTTAATAGTCTTTTCATAGACACTGAAAAAGCCGTGGGTTAGTATTTCAATAAAACGATAGTTTGCAAATACCCTCTTAAAGAACGTTCGACACATCTTGACGGCTATAAACATTGTCATTAATATGAAATGTAAAATCAACTTTGATCGTATTTTGATGAATTAGTGTCTGCTTCATAACACGACCATGAACAGTTATTACAACAGATTTATGGGAGTATATCTGTGTCATCTACTACGGCTGTTTCGACAACCTCTCAAACTTTCAGATGAATGACATGAGTAACCCCATGGGGAGACCGAAGACCATTATTTGGCACAGACGTCAGTATATTTATTGGTGTGTACTGTGACTAAGGCAAACCTTAAGACAAACTAAGACAGTTAGATTCTTTTTTTTTTTTTTTTTTTTTACATTTAATACAAGATATATTGAAAACATTCAAAGGAAAAAAACAGAATGCAGTATATAATTCAAAGATCAACATGATCAATGCCAAAGGCATTTTAATAGACAGCAAAAAAAACAGATCTTTTTTTCACAGTGGTTTAATTATGAACATGGTCACCTGTGATTACATTCGGGGCAGCCAATCTGAGCCCTCAAAATCAAAATCCACACAGAATCCAACAGCAGTTGCATATATAAAAGTAGCTAAACAATAATGAAACTATACATAAAGTAAAAGCATGTTGATGTCAAGCATTTAGCTTCTGCCTTTTGACAGAATGGCAGAGGAAGACAGCCTGTTGTAATTGGTGCTTTTATCATCTCAAATTCATGACAGTGCTACACTTTGACAAACTACAAAGGCCTTAAATGATACTGTAGCAATCATTCAGGAAAGTGAACACAGAATGTTCAGGGCATATTTTTAACAGTGCCTTCTTCGTTTCTCTTCACATTTGAACTTTATTAACAAGGAAAACAGAATAATAGGTTTTTGGGAACCATGGCAACAAAAATGACAAAAGTAACAGCCAGGCAGTTCCAGTAATGGAGCAATTCGATCTGATGAGGCTAAGAGACAATGATCAGCGTGACTTCAAACAATGGACTTCATTCCTCATGCTCCTCCATTGTGAGCAGCCTGACAGAATGTAATTAAGACATTGTGTAGCAATTCACACAACTCTTTGTTGGACTGTGATCACAAATAAATACTGTAAAGGGGGAATCAGTCTCATTGATGACAATGTAAAGTTTGAGCATTCTGGTTCATTTCAATAAACATGTGAAGCGATACATACATATGAAACCACAGTTGCATTTAAACAGTGACTTTAGAGAGAAACCAAAGAAAGTAAGGGACATGGAAAATCGAAGAGTTAGTGAGAAACCTTCCATGAATGTAAGCTCCTAAGAGGAAGTGAACACCAACTGGATGGGCAGAAGGTGTAGTGTTTGGTGGAGAGTCAAAGGTATGCAAGTCCTGAAACTCTTTGGGTCCAAAGAGTTTTAAAATTAAAAAAGCATCACGACAGACAGCCGACATCTCTGCAATAGAATGCTCCAGCTTGCCAAACATCAGCTGTAGTGCCTTGCTACCCAAATCCGCACGAATCTGTGTCTTGTGTGCATATACAGCTGTAGAAATTAATGCAGTGTGTGGAGAACAGCAGAGAGAGAGAGTGTGCAGCAGTTACTGGATCACCTGTAGGAATGGAGTAGGGCAGCGCTGGGTTTATCGTGACGGGACGATAAAACCCACAGCTGGGGTCTGGCTGAGTGCACAGCGTCTCCACGTCACCGGGGCTGAATTTAAGACAAAAATTAAACCACGTGTCAATTTACTCTGGTGTCATTTGGGCTTATGCTACTGGTCTGTCCCTCCCAACCACCTGCGAAGGGAAAGAAGGCTTCAACTACTCCTCTGTGTTGAGTTTTTTCTGTTAAACCATAGTTTCCCTCCGTTATTCACCCACTGAAACACCCAAGTTTTAAATTGGAGCACATAAGCCCTAAAAAACCCCAACCCCAGCATTTAGGTGGTGTACGGTGTAAATTCAGTACACTGCACAATCGCCCACTGAATAAATACTTACACACACAGACACTCCTTACAGACCTGCTCAAAGGCAAAATATTCCCTGGTGAAAGTCGATTTCATAACGCTCTTCGTTGTACATTTTAAACGAGAACTTAATGCAACTCTTGCAATGTGTCTCGTCAAGTGGTCTGCAAGCGTGATGGCGAGAGCAGCCGCAAGAGCGAGAGAGTCAGAACCAAGAGGACAAGCGAGAATGCGTCACATTCAGCCCAGAAGGCGTGGCCACAACAACTGACGACAACTCCCAACTGTGTGTTGGGAGGAAGGCTCACTTCCCTGTAGAAACACATGGGGGCGCTGCACATCACTCACACAGACCTGAAGGGACATTGCGAGGCATGCGGCTGTTTCAGAGAGCCGCTACGACAGCAGGGTACCGGTGGGTACAAGTGCGGGGGAGGGGCAGGAAAACCTCGCTTACAAGCAAAGCGAAGCCGTAGACAAAATAAGACATTTATACACGTTTATATGATCTGTCCTCATCGTCCAAAGAGTCAGTCAAATAAAAACCATAAACGCCGCTTGCTTGGTCATACTTAATAGGGGGGTGGTGGTGGGGGGGGGCAGCGGCAGGGGGCTTGTGGTATGTGATGAGGATGTAACCAAAGGAGGAACTCAAACAACCACCGCTTCAGTCTCCTTCCACGTCATGGTCTTATTTTTACACATTATTTACAAAAACAACATACGCAGGAAAGATCCTGAAATATATAAATTTACGCGTATGTTTGTGTGCCAGCACGTGCATGTGGGGAGGACTGACAAAATTCAACTTTTAGTTTTGGGGAGAAGGGACCAGTGTCCGGAGCTGAAAGCCATGTGCGCATGACGCGTGCCCGCCGTAGGGTAGCGTGAGACGAGCGCTGTCCCGCATCACGTGCTGGTTTGATGGAATACAAAGAAAGCAGCAGAACGCGGCCCCCCAGGCCCCCGGGACCCGCACCCCCCACCCCTACTGGCGTACTTTTCCAGGGATGTAGTTCCGGTCGATGCTCTCCTCCTGCAGAAACATGTGGAGACAGCGCTCATTCTGGGCCAGGGGATGTCCTGCGATCCTGGGGAAGGTGGAAGCGCAGGCTATGTTATTTACACGGGTCAGGCCAGACTGGCCCACAACAATGAACTGGTCAGGTGCTGCTGTCCTACAACCATGGTCCTCAATTATACTGACTGATAGAAGAACAGACACAGAAGATAGCCGTAGACCTGTAGTGTGTGATCTGCAGCAATAACAGGAACCCTCTCATTTCAGAACTATTACAGATAGGAACTAATATAACCTGGAACCTTTGTTCAATGTTACACTAACTCCTGCTGCACAGATGTTGTCATTGGGAGTTCCAGATACGGAATGTACAGTTATGGTGACCGTGGGTGTTTCTCTGTACCTACAACACAAAGATTGTACTTGTGTTCTTGGCGAGAGCCGTCTTACTAACTTGCCTCCCTAGAATGAATTTGGAACGCAATGAATCATGGGATTGGTCTCCTCTGGCGAGGACGACACCGATGTATCCTTGATATTTCGAGTAGAGCAAGAACAACATATGGGGATTTTTACCGTCCTTTGTACATCTGTTCTCAGTATTGGAACTGGTCTTGGATAATGGAAGATGATGTAACACAAGTACGGTCAAGTATGTATACTAGGGGTGCACCGATTGCAGTTTTCTGGCCGATCAACGATCACCGATCCTTAGGCAACCTTACCTGCCGATCTCGATTTTTTTTTGCCGATCTTGTTTCTTTCATAACTAAAAGACAGTTACTTCAATGTTTCCATTTTTATTGAGTAAATTGATATGAATACTCACAAAACATGAGGTAGTGTCCTCAAATATAAATGAACATATAAATGAGCATTGCTGTTTGAACTACAAAATCATATTTTTTCTTCCAGACTTTAATTTCTCTAATTTTGTAAAAAAAAATATATATATATATATATATATATAGCTGTTATGACACACTTGTCCAAAAAATAGGGAGGGAGGCAGCCTGCACTGCACCTCTCTCGGGAATGGGAGAAAAGGCTGATTTAACCCTCTGGGGCCTAGGGGTAGGAAACACACTTTCACTGACTGGGGCATGATCACACATTTCATCACACTTAATTCATGGCAAATAAATTATTTCTTATATATTTGTTTTGCCATTACACTCATCTTTATTTTAATATATATTGTAAATATGTCAGATTTTTGTTAAGTTTGAAATTTGACATCAAAGTATAGACATTGCAAAATGCAGTTTGGAACACTTGCAGAAACATTATAAAAGTACATAGTAAGCAATGCTGGCAGTTTGTTTTGATCCCAGATATCTGATCACCAAAGTCTTGGCTACATGAAGATGACTAAATGGTGTAGATGCAACATTAATTTGGATAAATAAATAAGAAAAACCTAACTCATGTAACTATTTCTGGCTCCTTTCATTGAATATGTAGCAACTTTCATGTGTATGAATGAGCCATTGTCACCTGGCCACGTCCCCAACCCCCTTTTATGGCGCTGAAGGGGATGTATCTGGATCGCGTTTCACCGTTGCGCTGTTAATCAAATTACCATGCGAATGCGATTTGAATACGCGCTAATGCGGCTATTTAGAATGTGAATAGCGATCTTCGGGTGAGAGCGGTACTACACGCCCCCGATGCAGGTAAAACAAAGTAAGATGACATGGTTTACTTTTTTGCCGATTTAACCTAATTAAAAAAACTTTAATACTTCCGACAATGGACGTTTTGAAAAGAAGACAGATTACGGATTTAGCCAGCGTTTTTTTCATGATTATACATTAAGATTTCAGCGAGATATTTATAAACTGAAATAGACGCGAAAAGTACGCGATGTCGTCGACGACATACTCGACCCCAAAGAGTTAAAAGCATATAACTAAGATCGGTGGATCTCATGGGAATATGGTCGATTTCTGATCCCCTCAAATTAACGTGATCGAGGCCGATCGATCGGTGCGCCGATCGATCGGTGCACCCCTAATGTATACCGAGAAACACCTTGTGATAGCCAAGAAAAATTTACGTTGTTTATTTGCATGCACCGTTTCACTGAAGTTACAACAATGAAATGCTCGACTTAAGCAAACACTGATTGCGTTTCAATGAACACAAACCAAACCACACACACAAACCAGCTCCTCGTATCTCCTGTAATTCTGAGTCACCCCATTCTTTAAATGAATGGTGTTTACCTGTTGATGAACTGCTCCAGGCCACCCCGCCTCTCCTCGATGAAGGATTCTTCAAAAATGCCCTCATCTCCCCGGAAGGGAAGCTGCCTCTTCAGGGCCTTTCCAGGCAGAGGAGGCACTACGATCTAGCAGGAAGCAGGACGAAAGCCATCTTTATGGGAAGCCTGCAGCACATCTAACTGCCAGGGCATAAGAGGTCATGAACTTCACAGCTGATCTACCTTGCTGTCTCGCTCCAACTCATTTTTCAGCCACTCAAAGTCACTGTATCTCCTGCGAACACAAGACTCCTTGAGCTTGAAGATGGGCAGGTTCGTCTGAAAAGGAACAAACACATGCAGCTCAAAAGACCATCCATTACACAGTGCAGCGGCACACGACAGATCAGCTGTGGTTATAAAATAAGTTACAAAAATAAGGCTTTATTGTAGATGTAAAAGTCTTAGTCATAAATTCAATTTCATTCTTAAAGATCTGAGTTGAGTTACCGCTATGGGTTATTGTGGTATAAAAGTCTAACGGCATTTCATCTGTATCCATGTTAAAACAGAGAACCAAAGGGTACAGCCTGGTAGAGTGTCTGTAACATTACAAAGCAACAATCTGATGGGAACACACTATCGTGGTCTATACTGCCATGCTTCAACACACTATCGTGGTCTATACTGCCATGCTTCAACATACACCTGACTGACCGTAAAATTGTCTTTCTGTAAACACAGCATCAAACTGCCATTCATACTAAGTGAAGACCAAGTCTAGAAAAACCGCAATGGACTGAAGAAGCAGGGGTGTTATCGTCTTAGCAAAATGTCCTGCGTTATTCTGCACACATTACTGCTGCTTAATGTGCCGTACCGAGATTCTTTAATGAGCATAATTATTTTAGCATGTCTGAAAAGTAGCTATTACACTATGTTATACGTGGAGTTCAGCAACTCGAAGGCTGTCAGCGGTGACACAGCAGAGCGCGCCATCCAGCTGGCGGTGGGCCGGCGACATGAGGCACTGGGAAACCTCCCTACCCATGGCTGGGCGTGCAGCAAGGGGACCCCTCCCTACCCTGGCTCAACACCCAGCCCAGCCCAGCATAAGCTGAATCACACCGGTGATTCACTCAAGAACACATTAATGATAAACACACTGCTAACACGGCAGTGTTTCAATGACCAATCAGAAAATAAGTGGTCAAAGCCAATTTCTACACGCATTTCCACTCCGATAACTACAATCATCTACCATGTGGGTAATTTACTAACAAATACAGTGGTACCTCAGTTCTCAAACTCATTAGAACTCGAACCAACCAGTTTGGAAAAAAAAAAACCTAGAACTCAATCTGAATCTCAGGAGTCAAACCGTGAACGCCGACCTAACACGCGGGGAAATGAGTCACGCGGCACGTCTCTCAGCGGAAACATAGGGTAACACTCCAGTCTAAGCTTCACATTCACTATGATAGCATCTTGCATGTTTACAATAGCTGAATACTTATATTTAGACAGTAAAAATACATTTAGACAATGATAGACACTAACAGTAATTATTATAATATAATAAAATACATTTAAAAAATAAAGATTTATTATTAATTATTTTAATATTAAGAATAAACCATTAATACATTTAATTATAATAATATTGTCGTGCCCAGCGGGGACGGAACGGAGACATAGGCGCAGACGTTAGGGTATCGGGGAATACGGGGTTTAATTACAGGTAAGGCAGGCAAAACGCAACGGTCAATACAATGACCGGACTAGGAAAACAAACTGAAACACGGACTAAATACAGAGGACTAATGACAACAATCAGAAACAGCTGATCACACGGGGATTCCACACAAGGTTAACGAGGGGGCGTGGCACACGGAAGGAGCGGTCGATTGTGGCAGGACACATTGTTTGTTTTTGTTTTTTTTTTAAGTTTACACATTGTTTGGATACATTTATTTTCTTAATTTACAAATTACTGTTTTGATAAATATGCTTAGATGTGTTTAGTACAGTATATGTTGTTATTGTTTTATCCGGTTCACTTTGTGTTTAAATGCTAAAAAAAAAAAAGATATTTAGGAGTAATTTTTTGGGGCAGAGAACCAATTAATTGGTTTTCCATTATGTGTTATGGGGAAAATTCAATCACAACTCGAACTTTTTAGGATTCAATCCGGAGTTCTGAACGGATTAAATTTGAGTTCTGAGGTACCACTATATATATTTGAGAGTGAACTGGTCGTCAGGCTTCTTGCACCACTTGCTAACAAACACTGCTCTCATTCCATGTCTTTGCTTTTATTCTCAATGCACAGTCATTTTTACTTATATCACAATACTGCCAGAAAGGAAACGCCTTCATCTTAGGGCAGAACTGAAAGAAATGCCCCCAGCTCTCTATCTAAACCATGCCGCCTGGGCCCAGGGTGACAGGCCACCTCCTCTCCACTCCCAGATAAGTTACTCACACAGTTTTACTCAATTTAAGGTACGCTCATCTGTGTCCCAAAAGACAGCAGTCCTGCCTGACACCTCTCTGCGCCTGACTGTCCATCTTCTGTCCTAAAAATAATGATTTAACTGCACTCTAATTTAGTGTGGTCTGAAATACTAGGGTGCAGTATGAAACACTACACGCACAGGACATCTCCATGGTGTTATGGTCCTGATGTTGTCTATTGCCTGCGGACAGATTCGCTGCACATTGCTGGTCTACACCAGGCCTTCCGCTCAGATTTAGGCAGGACTGCATTAAAACACAGGACAATCTGAGACACCACAACGCAGTTCCTCATGAAGTACAACATAATCCCATTCGGTCTCACTCTCCAATAGGAGATTATGAAAAAGCCTACTAGGCTGAAGGCACATGAAGGAATGCAACACTAGCAGCATTCACAAGCTATTCCTTCAACATGAAAACTGAAAATGCAAAAAAAAAAAAAAAAAACTATCGTTTGGTTTTACAAAAAAAAAAAGTTAGATGCTACTTTCAGAAAGGGCGAGGTGTGTTTAAGATTCAGGCAAGTCGCTAAAGGTACTTTTTTGACAAAGCTAAGAATGGTATCTCACGTCAAGTTTAAAACGTGTGATTTTTCTCCCCACCTGTAATACATCCATATTAAAAGGAGTTCTTTGTGTATAACAGTCAACAGAAGTGTTTCTCCCTGACCTGGGAATACCCCTGTGACACAGAGCACCTCTGATATGCTCTTCCTGCATATCCCCCCCCTTTCACAAATTCTGGGGCAAAAAAACCCCCATCACAACAGCTGAGTCAGTACAAAGTACTAAGCAATAAAGGAAGCCGGCGAGATCCACCCACATTCCAGAGAATGACAGCTGCTGACACAGCGACATTTGAATGCATTTCTTCACTAATGTTCACCGTTTCTCATTTTTTAGCATAATCTGATGCCGTCTTATATATAGAATGGTACTTCAAGAGGGAAAATTTACAAGAATATTCAAGTACTGAAGCTTAAAAATCCACAAAATCCGCCAAATTATATGACTTGACATTTATCATCTAGTGAATCCCTAAATTTATTAATCCTAGCACTTGTGTTTAATAACATTGGGTGAATGTTGACGTGATTGATGTCCCCTTCAGATCTATTGAAAGACGAGCATTCCTTCGTCTTCCAGGGCCGGTTCTGGCAGCGGCTATTGCATGGTCAGCATTCATTCATCTCAAAGTCTTCCACCGCAATTATGACTTTATTAAGAATGATTTGGTCTTACGCAGTTCAATCACCGACCAAAGCCTATGAACACGAACAACACAGAGCACCTGTGACATACAGGGGGAAATCTTTATTAGCTCCTTTATTGTCTGAAACAGTTGCTGAATTCGTGCAAAATTACTACTTATGATAATAGCAATACGAATTATTTATCAGTTTCCAACAAAACAAAACGCTTTAACCACGGTTTAAGATTCAGGAGTTTATTGTCATTGATTACTCGTTTAAAATAGCCGTACCTTTCCTTAGTTTACAGTTTGGTATTATTTCACGGAAAAAAAACGCAGGGGCACAACGGGCCAAAGAGGCAGCACCACGGAGAGCCCTTCGGCTCGGCCTGGATGTCTGACTAGGGGAGCTGGCTCCGCTCCAGTCGCCCGGCTCGGTACAGTAAGTCTCGTACTGCCGCCCATTCATTCCCCTCTCACACCGGCTATTTGTGCTTTTAATGTCCCACACCCACCGATTAGCCAGCTTACTAACCGCCATTCGGAGTTGCGTGGCGTTTCACTTCCCCGCCGAACCACTCCCTGTCGTCCTCCCGCACTCCCACCTCAATTCAGGGAGGCCCCACCAACCTCGGGCCTCGATTTCGGGCCAAATCCGCCCGGAAGACGCGTTTAGCGGTGCCAGCACACTCACCCGCATCCGCACTTCGTAGGTAGTGTAACGGTTCCGGCCTACTCCAATCGTCTGCGGGTCGTACACGTCAATTTCGAGGAAGTTGCTCGGAGGGCCATAAGCATCTGTGAGGTCCTGGGGTTTTGAGTTGAGCCGGCGGGTGTCGGCGACGGTCGGCTCGGACATTTTCCTCTTTGAGAAGCCTCTTCGGGTCCAAGGGAAGAAGGAGCCAACTAACGGGTCCCACCGAGTCTGCCCATAGTGCAGCGGCCGCAGCCAATGGGGAGGCAGGAAACACGACTAGCTGTGCTTCTAACCAATAGCATCATGCCAGGGGCGGGCCACTCGTAGGATTTAAATGGCGATCGCCCTATAACGAAATGATAGGTGTTGTGTTTCCAGGTAGCTGAGGTATGAATTGGAAAACGGTAGGTGCTGGAAAATACTGATATTTAAACCTATTGTTGTATCTTAAGTTGTGAAGCACTACATACGCCGTGGAAATGCAGTATTTATTTGTAGCTCAGATACCTTCAGACGAAAAACAAAAGATTTCACCCTTCTTGTTTTCTGACAGCAAACCCTGACAGGGTAACCCAGATATTTTTTGTTTATATTTCAATATAAACTTCTAACTGGAAAAAGCAAAATACTGCCCCCCTTTTTTTCCAAACAAAAAGAAAACATACACCTCTCATCCCCATCTACAAACCTATTGTCCTGTAGCCCTCAGTACCAGATTTGTGGAGAAGTGGGGTGGTGTGCAACTCAGTAGGCTGGGACCTGTGTTTGTGTGTGGAAGGTCATGGGTTTGAATCCCCTGGCTGACAGTGTTATCATACCACTATTAGATAGATAAATATTGGGCCCGTGAGCTAGACCCTTAACCTTAAATGTTTCAAGGGCATTGAATACTACAGAGCCCCTAAGGGGACAAAGGAGGAGAAAAAAAAAGAAGTCATGTTTTGCGTTATAACCCAAAACCTTTGCGTTATAACCCAAAACTTTTGCGTTATAACCCAAAAGTTTTGCGATATAACCCAAAACCTTTGCGTTATAACCCAAAACTTTTGTGTTATAACCCAAAACTTTTGCGTTATAACTCAAAACTTTTGCGACATAAGGCAAAACTGTTGTGACTTTGAACTGGAAATATGAGTAATCAGTCAGTGTAAGGAAAACATGGAGCGTTTAATTGAATTTTACTTTGATCCTGGTCTACAATATATGGACATTCAGTTTGTTCTCGGATTTAGGCATGATGTTCACATAAGTCTGAGGCAGATTAAGAGGATTTTATGTGAAAGGGGATTATTCCAACGGAAAAACTACTCCGATTGGGGTGATATAATTAGCTTTATTCGCGAGCAGCTTTTGCACTCTGGGCAGCTTCATGGTTATCGATGGATGTATGCAAAATGCAGAATAAATGGACTTCATGTGAGAAAAGAGGATGTGCGTTTGATTTATATTAATTATATTAATTTATTATAAACATGAAACAACAACAAAAAACTAACAATTCTTTAGGCTTAAATCAACCTCAACAGATTAGCATTAATTAGCAATGTTACTGAAACGTACTTTACCAAGGCTTGCTTTACAAATTACTAATTATGAATTAAACAATCAAATCTTACCACACTGAACTCAAAAGTTTTTTTAACCGTTAAATTAGATTAATAAGCGAAGCGGGGATCAACCACATCATGCAAACTGCGGCTTTGGAAGTTGCACTTGAATGACCAAAAGTACGCTAGTCACCTGATTTTATTGTCGCATTACTACAGAAAAGTTTTGGGTTATATTGCAAAAGTTTTGGGTTATAACACAAAAGTTTTGGGTTATAACGCAAAACATGACTTCTTTTTTTTTTTTTTTTTCCTTCTGCCATTTTTTTTCTCTTCCTTTGTCCCCTTAGGGGCTCCGTAGGATACAGCCTCCTGATCCATTTAAAAAATATTCAAAAGCTAAAGACCATTGAGAGGGAGCTGAAAATGGTTTTGTGAGGAGGCACCACAGTAGAAGGGGAAGCTGGAATCCCAACTACGCAGAGGCACCACGGAGATGGAAGTTCCCTGTGGGCACAGCTACCGGCCTTGATGGGAGATGCCCTAGGGCGTGGCAGTCCTGCTTCGATTGGCTGTCAGATCTTTGAGTACCTCCTCACCCTCTCCTGAACAGTACAGACAGTTCCCATGCTCCAGAAAACAAACCTGTTTGTCAGAGTTCAGGTATCTAGCTCTCAATTCGCACTTTATGAGAGACATGCTGAAACACCTCCAACCTCTAGTGACTACCTGGACCCCGGTAGTTAGCCTACTGGGTAGAAAATGCTATCAAGGTAAGACCTGATGATTATACGAAGGAAGCTTTGGAGACGGTACACGCCTACAAATACCCAGAGGTGGAAACTTCAGGGCCAGCAAGTAAAAATCCAGACCAAGATTTAGTTTCAACCAACAAGTTGAGTTTTTTGTGCATATGAGTCTATTAACCACCAAGCACTATTAACCACATTGCACCATAAGTGTTGCAGGTTCCCTTTCTTGCCCAATGTAATCTGCTTCCATCACCCTTTGCACCCGGGAATTAAACCCCAAATTGGTTCTGTATTTGTTTCATTTGAATCTGTTTTGATGTGCATTTTGTAGTTATGTAGATCTCCTTTGTAATTGTTATATCGTATTGCACTGTGTTTATTTATTGTGGTATATCTTGTATTTATTGTGACCGCAGTGTCATTGTTGACCCAGCTGAATGTACTCAGACATGCAGCATGCGGCTGCGCTTTAGGCAAGGCTGTGGCAGAACCGGCGGTTACCCAGGGCCCCCAGGGCCCCCAGGGCCCCCATATTACCTGCATTGTGGAGGAAGCAAAGTCGCCACCAGTTGTCTTGGTTGAGGGGCCTCTGTCTGGGGTAGATTCGGCCTTGGTTTTGGAATGCTAGTATTACACTGATAACTCATGCTACTGATGTGCATATCTTTAGTATGAGTTATATGAAGCAGTAGTAGTACTTTATTGATCCCAAAGGAAATTCCAAAAGAGCTGCAGCAGCAAACACAAAAAGTAACAAACACTATATGTGTGTGTATGTATGTATGTATGTATGTGTGTGTATATATACACTCACCTGAAGGATTATTAGGAACACCATACTAATACGGTGTTTGACCCCCTTTCGCCTTCAGAACTGCCTTAATTCTACGTGGCATTGATTCAACAAGGTGCTGAAAGCATTCTTTAGAAATGTTGGCCCATATTGATAGGATAGCATCTTGCAGTTGATGGAGATTTGTGGGATACACATCCAGGGCACGAAGCTCCCGTTCCAACACATCCCAAAGATGCTCTATTGGGTTGAGATCTGGTGACTGTGGGGGCCATTTTAGTACAGTGAACTCATTGTCATGTTCAAGAAACCAATTTGAAATGATTCGAGCTTTGTGACATGGTGCATTATCCTGCTGGAAGTAGCCATCAGAGGATGGGTACATGGTGGTCATAAAGGGATGGACATGGTCAGAAACAATGCTCAGGTAGGCCGTGGCATTTAAACGATGCCCAATTGGCACTAAGCGGCCTAAAGTGTGCCAAGAAAACATCCCCCACACCATTACACCACCACCACCAGCCTGCACAGTGGTAACAAGGCATGATGGATCCATGATCTCATTCTGTTTACGCCAAATTCTGACTCTACCATTTGAATGTCTCAACAGAAATCGAGACTCATCAGACCAGGCAACATTTTTCCAGTCTTCAACTGTCCAATTTTGGTGAGCTCGTGCAAATTGTAGCCTCTTTTTCCTATTTGTAGTGGAGATGAGTGGTACCCGGTGGGGTCTTCTGCTGTTGTAGCCCATCCGCCTCAAGGTTGTGCGTGTTATGGCTTCACAAATGCTTTGCTGCATACCTCGGTTGTAACAAGTGGTTATTTCAGTCAAAGTCGCTCTTCTATCAGCTTGAATCAGTCGGCCCATTCTCCTCTGACCTCTAGCATCAACAAGGCATTTTCGCCCACAGGACTGCCGCATACTGGATGTTTTTCCCTTTGCACACCATTCTTTGTAAACCCTAGAAATGGTTGTGCGTGAAAATCCCAGTAACTGAGCAGATTGTGAAATACTCAGTCCGGCCCGTCTGGCACCAACAACCATGCCACGCTCAAAATTGCTTAAATCACCTTTCTTTCCCATTCTGACATTCAGTTTGGAGTTCAGGAGATTGTCTTGACCAGGATCACACCCCTAAATGCATTGAAGCAACTGCCATGTGATTGGTTGATTAGATAATTGCATTACTGAGAAATTGAACATGTGTTCCTAATAATCCTTTAGGTGAGTGAAAGAGTGACGACTTTGCTTCCTCCACAATGCAGGTAATATGGGGGCCCTGGGTAACCGCCGGTTCTGCCACAGCCTTGCCTAAAGCGCAGCTGCATGCTGCATGTCTGAGTACATTCAGCTGGGTCAACAATGATACTGCGGTCACAATAAATACAAGATATACCACAATAAATAAACACAGTGCAATACGATACAACAATTACAAAGGAGATCTACATAACTACAAAATGCACATCAAAACAGATTCAAATGAAACAAATACAGAACCAATTTGGGGTTTAATTCCCGGGTGCAAAGGGTGATGGAAGTATATATATATATATATATATATATATATACACTCACCTAAAGGATTATTAGGAACACCTAATAATCCGGCTCGCAGGATCCTCATTGCTGGGGACCCAAGCGGCTGGACCAGGCCAAGGGGACGCTCACGTAACACCTGGCTGCGGCAGATGGATGGCCATTTCCGGAGGGTGGGACTGGACCGTGTGTCTGCCTGGGGGGTCGCTGGCCGGGTTCCCAAGGAGTTTCGCTGTGTGGTGGGTGCGGCAATGTGATGCATCAGCGCATGCTCCCCAACCTGACCTGACCTGACCTGGCCTGCCCTGGCCTGGCCTGTTTATTAAGCTATAAATATTAGGGTTTAAAGGGTGCAGAATTAAAGTGCTGTAAATGTGAAAAAATAGTTTTGATGTTTTTTTACTTCCTTATTTGAGTGTATGGAACATTTAAACTATTTAATAAGTCATATTCAAACATTGTAATATCTGGACGTTGACATAAACGCATAAGAGTTCTGTCGGAATTGGAAATTGCATTTATATGTGGTATGCCTCTTTCAAAATTTTCAATTAAAATGATGTCCTAGAGCAGCGATTCTCAACCCATGGGTCACTCACGACCCAAATCTGGGTCGCAGCAAGTTTTCAATGGGTTGCCAGGCAGAGTTGGAAATGTAAGCATTTTAAATCTAGCAAGCTCCTATGCTGATCCACGATCAGATATTTCATCCCCAGTCATAGAATTAACCTATATAAACAGGCCTTGGGTCTGCAAATTCTTAACACAAAACTAGTGAACACTCAACCAATCCAAGAAGCACCACAGATTCTAAATTTAAAATTCACTGACACATCCAAACAAATGTGTGCGATAGGCATTAATAGGCTCAAATACTTAATATAGGGTCGCGACTTACCTGGCATTGTAACGATTCGTGGTCGTGGTGCAAAAAAGATAAAGCCCCACTCTCCTTAAGTATCACATGACTTCATTTCCCAGAAATCTAGTCGCTCTGTACGCATGCGTGCCATGCTTTGCACAGCCATAGTAAACATGTGAACTGAATCTGACGTCCAGTCATAACAAAACAAGAAGGTCGAAGAGTATTAGTCGGATATTGTACACTAAAACTCCAAATGTTGAGACTTAGATGGCATACGGGTTTTAATGGAAAATACGCCGAAAGAAACTCCATTTGTTTTACTGAGATTTAAAAAAATCTATTTCCAAAATAGTGAAATTCGGTAAGATTATCGTAATTGTTACATGGCCTTTGCCGAAAGGCCGTAAAGGCGTTTGGTGAGTGAAGGACTGGGTGGATGCCGACGTTGTGGTTGCAGTGCAAAGTACATTGGGGATAGGACCAAAACTGAGGAAAGGCGACGCGATCCTTGGCTGCCAAAGGTCGAGGACCGCGTCTGACGGGACGAGGCGCCAGGAGTCTGCGCTGAGGAGGATGGCTCTTAGGATAGAAGACGCACATGTATCGAGTTTCACTTAATTTCTATTTTATCATATACGGGTTAGAAATATCTGAATTCACATACAGTAAATCATCTAAAATTATTTGAATTTCTTTTTGGTTAAACAAAACACCGCCTTGCGATCTGGAGGTAAGAAATAAGTAAATACTTTTGCATGTAATACTCTAATCGGGGATTTGTTAACGCCGTTCAGATTATACTGATGTTTTTGGTTCAAATAATCTAATGTTATTATAGTGAAATACAGATTAACAAAGCTCAGAATTGTTGCCTGTTTTTATAAAAGGAACTACTTCTGGTTTATTAATATAAATATCAATAACGATTACGCTGTAGAGTCATAAACGCGACGCTCCACAAGGGTTAAACATGGAAGAGGACAGCGTGCAGGATGTCGACCCCGACTTTGAACCCCGGAGCCGCCCGAGGTCGTGCACATGGCCCAACGTGTCCACCGTCAAACCGGAGGGAGAGGACGTCGGGGAAACCGCTCCCGGCATCGTCCTGGCGCCGGGCCAAGGGAAGGACGCGGATTCCAGGGGCGGGGCTACATCGGGGGTGGGCGTGGTCACGCCGAGGAAGGGTGGCTCGCGCCGCAACGCCTGGGGGAACCAGTCATATGCAGAGCTGATCACCCAGGCCATAGAGAGCTCTCCTGAAAAGCGGCTCACCTTGTCACAGATCTATGACTGGATGGTCAACACCGTGCCGTATTTCAAGGATAAAGGAGACAGCAATAGTTCAGTGGGATGGAAGGTAAAGGATTTGCTGTTTAACAGTACGAACGCAGTTGCTGGTCGTGTCTTATCCGCTGTCATGCATTCAGTGGCATTATAGTGGCTCTCTGCAAAACAGCAATGTGCATGTAATATCCGGGGTGAAATTTTTCTCTGTAAGATTTAACTGACTGTGAGTTAATAGACACCAGTTACGGAGCAGAGAATCTGCTTCCACGTGACTATAGTGAGGCTGGGCATTTGCTGTTTTCTGAGATTTAAGCATCTTGCACTATTCGGTGTCTTTCCCCAGAATTCCATCCGCCACAACCTCTCCCTGCACAGCAAGTTCCTGAGGGTGCAGAACGAGGCGTCGGGCAAGAGCTCCTGGTGGACGCTGAACCCGGAGGCGGGCCGCTCTGCCAAGGAGTCGCGGCAGCGTCACTCCATGGACAACTGCAGCAAGCTGCTGAAGAGCCGCGCGCACGCCCGGCAGGCCAAGGCGGCGAGGGCGGCGGCCCTGCGGCAGAGGGAGGCCGCCCCCGAGGGCGCCCCGCCGGACCCACCCTCGCAGAGCCATCCCGGCCGCAGCCCCTCACCTCATGGTTACCTTGACAACACGGATGTGTGGACCAGCTTCCGCTCACGCACGGGCTCTAACGCCAGCTCCCTGAGTGGCCGGCGGTCTCCCGTGGCGACCGCGCTGGAGGACGAGGAGGCCCCGATGGAGGAGCCGCTGGTAGCTGGAGCCCTGGCGGAGAGCTCCGTGGCGGAGCTGGATCTCAGTGCCAGGCTCACGCTGATAGCCGGCCAGCAGGGAGGCACCAGTCCCCAGGGCAGCTCCACAGCGCCCCCTACCTGTCTGCACTCCATGCCCACTCTGGTGCCTTCTGAATCCAGCTTCCTGTCTCTCTGCTCGACGCAGCCCTCAGCGCCCCCAGCTCAGGCTGCCCCACTGCCCTCCCCTCGGTGGGTAGGCCCCCCCTGCTGTTTTGGCCCTGGCTCCCAGGATGTCACCTACGGGGCGCATTTACCCTCGGGTATGGGGGCGCTGTTTCCTGGGGGGCATGTAAGTGGAATTCAGGGTGCGTCCCACCTCCCGAATCTGCCTATGGCCCAGCTGGACTCATCGCTTGGTACGCAGGGCTTCTCCCTGAAGCAGCTTCAGGCCCTGGCTGGCCATAGCAGGGGACGTCCCCCACAAGCCGGGGCTGGCTCGTGTTTCCCCATGCCCGAGACAGCAGGGGGCCACATCCCCTTCCTGGGCAATCAGGACCAGCTGCCTACGGACCTGGATGCTGATATGTTTACCGAGAACCTGGACTGCGACATTGACTATATCATCAACAGTGACCTCCTGGACGGTGAAGCTGTCGACTTCAACTTCGACATGATACCTCCCGTGAAGCAGGGTTGCCATGGAAACCTACAAGACTCCTTCCACAATTGGGTGCCCAGCTAAATGCCCCCACATCAGCAGGGGCAGGTTTGTTTTTTTGGGGGCCCCACTCCCCGAAATGTTTAAAAAAAAAAACTAAATGAACAGCTGCCAGTTAGAGGTTTGTGGTGATCTAGATCGATAGCAGAACATGCTGCTGAAGCGTCTGCTAACTAAGGAACACTTAAGTGTTTAATGTTATGACCATTTTGGCCAACAGGGGGCACCACACAGATGTGTGCTTTGAGTGGCAGTAAATGCCACTGCCGCATGTCCCCCAGATGTGATGCCATGCTGTGTCAGGGCCAGTGCTGGGTTAGTTTAGCATAGCATAGCACAGCACACAATGTTTCTGTGAGTTATACAGAAAATACAGTTTTTAACTATACCTTTCAACTTCTAAAAATAACAGATGGCACTTTTTTTCCCCCAAAAGGACAGAAAATAACATTTCCCAAGGCTTTTGATTCACGGTCAGTGCAGTTTAGAGTTAGGGTATGTAATACAGGCTGTAAATATCCGCCATATTGACTGGTGTAGACGCTCTCTGCCTGTATCTGATGCTTTTGCCCTCTCTGTTATGGGTTCGTGTCACTTTCTCGCATTCCCTCCTTCCCAGCCCTCCATCATTCTCCGCTGCTCTGTCGTCTGCATTCTCAGGCACTGATTCCCCTTCCCGTCTCAGCTCAGCTCGCTTTAACGTGCCTTTGAGGAAGAGCAGGGGTACAAATAACACAAGATATGCGGAACGATGGGGGGGTTGTCTTATGATTTGACGTTTAACGTGTGAAAGGTTTGAGTTTCACTTCGCCCTCGGGCTTTTGTCTCTCAGCTGACCTCCCTTGAAACGAGGCCCGTTCTTATGAAATCACGGAAGGTGATTGAGGGGGTGCAGCTAAGCAACATTAGAGTGTCAGCACTGTGTGTCGGTGTCTGTGTGTGTGTGTGTGTGTCTGTGTGTGTGTGTGTGTGTGTGTGTGTGTGTGTGTGTGTCTGTGTGTGTGAGGTTATGTGTATATATTAGAAAAATATTCCCACAGTGTGATAAAAACCTGTTGTTTTTGTTGTGGTGATCATTTTTTTGGTCCCCACAAGGGGAAATTGAATTTTCTAAAAAAAAATCTCTGATTGCAATCAAAAAAAAAAAACAACTAAAAATGCCAAAAGTCTTGTATTTTCTTTGGTTACTTATGGTTAAGGTTATGGCTGGGTAGGGGTGATGGTCGTCATGTTGGGATAATTCATAGCTTCAGTGAGCTCTCTGAGAGCCTCCCGCCGATGCCATTATGAATGGTTACTTTTTTGGGCTGTCATGTCACTGGGACCTTCATCTTACCATGACCAGATGCAATGTAGACCAGGCCCTTATAAGCCCTATAACAAGCACATAACATATAACAGGCTCAGGCACTTGGCTTACAGTTGCAGTGTTCCCAGCGCCCCCTGTTGGTAATTCAGGGTCCAACACCTTTATTTTCCCATCGCATTAGATGAGTACAGCCTTGAAGCAATGGTCAGAGGTAAATGTAAAATGTATTTTTCCATTATAAACAAATGAAAGTACATGTGTCTGTATGGCCACCATGACCTGCATTAACCTGGCCCAGCAGCTGTGCTGTTGTGCTCTCAGCCAAAAACATCTCAGGTGCTTGATGCACGGCAGCGGACTGGAGTGATTTTGATCCTGCAGGAATGCATAGGAAAGGGAGTGACATTTGCAGAGCAGTGTCAGCTATGCATATATGTGAGGCTGTTTTTTAGGTAAGAATGTTTACTTATTTTGGACAGAGAAAATGCCTTTGTGAATTAGGAGTCATTGAAATCCATCATGCGTGTCTTACTCTCAGGATCTTCTGGGTTATTTTTAACCCATTATTTTTTTCTGGCACAGCATTTTATTTATACAAGGACGGAAATCACAGATTAATCGCGATGTAAAATGGTCTTAAATGTTGGCACATGGTCCACAGTGTAAAAGATTCCCAGAGTGCAATGTTGTTCTAAATTCCAATGCCGTTTGGCGCCGAGCGATAATCAGGTTTACAGTCGCGTGTGACGTTTTATCAAATGTGAAGACTTGAAGTTCCTGCAGAGTGGTGTTTATGTTTTTTTTATACAGGGTTTGAAAAGATGTAGATTATTGTACGAATGTGTTTTAACTTGGAGACTTTGGGTTGTGAAAATGTAGCGTTAAAGCACAAACATTTCCCTGATAATTTAGTGCTTGAGGCTGTGTTGTACTAAATCTGCCTAAAAGTTCTTGTTCTGACCTGCAGATGTTCCTGCCACTGTTCTTTAATCTATATGAAATACATTTTGGACATAATTTTATACTTGAACAATTAAAAATGAAAAATATATACAAATATATACAAATATTTTAATAATCATCTCCAGTAACTCCAGCATCAAACTCATGTACTGTGGCTCGTAAACCACTATGATTGTGTTTCTTTTTAGGTTTCATGTGGGTCTGATTTCCTGAGGCTGTGTGACACCTCACCTCACTATTCATCATGTCACACTCACTCCTGTTTTGTGTGCTGTTTTTAATTTTATTGTTCAAACTCTTGATGGTAATGATTTGTCATTGTGTTTTCGGTCTTTAATGCTTTGCACTTCCTGTTCAGAAGCCGCCTTTCCTTTTTATATAACTGCCCAGAGCAGTACAGCCCATTAAAATGATTTTTCCAATCACTCTGAAGGGTGTTTTTGGCATGTCTTTGATCTGAGGCGCCCCCTGCAGGCCGCACCGATGCGCTGGTGCTGCTTATCTGACACAGGAGGCCCCCAGTGACAGAGGGGCCAAGCTGCAGAGTCACTCTCTGGCGACCCTGATAATCGCAGGGTGTCAGTCCATCTGCGAAGGGATTCAGGGGTGTGAGTGTGATACAGAGTGATACAGAGTGATACAGAGTGATACAGAGTGGGCAGCAGTTCCTCAAAGAGCCGCTTACCATTGCTTACTGCTGCCATCCATCCATCTTTGACCTGTTCAGCCTCCATAGGGTCACGGGGGGCGGTTGGGGCTGGAGCCCATCCCAGGCAGACTGGTGCACTATGAGTGGGGTTCCAGCCCATCACTGGGCACACACACAGTCAAACGCTATGGGACACTCGCAGATGTCGTTTTGCTTAACCGCATTTCTTTGGACCGCAGAGGGAAACGTGTGCGAGACGGTGAGAGCAGATGAACTCCTCACGCACAAGGCAGAGGCGGGATCCGTACCCTGACCATGGTGGTGTGAGGTGACTGTCCACTAGTACAAGCAGTCCCCACATCACCAACGAGATCCATTCCCTAAGTCTGTCTTAAAATCAAATTCGTAGCTAAAACAGAAAAATAATAATACAGAAAATAGTATTATAAAGTAATAATAATATTACAACATATGGTACTGTACGCTGAGCTGATGAACTGCTGAAGCCACACAATTTTTTCACAAGTATCAGAAAGTAGCACAATGTGTGCAATCATTATTACAAATCATTGTATTTAGCCCAAATTTTTAACATAATTGGTTTTATGGCATTTGTAAGTCCGACGTCCCTAAGAATAGAATAGAATAAACCTTTATTATCCCACGAATGAGAAATTTAGGTGTTACAGAGCTCTTATACAAAAGTAATATAGAACAACAAGAGCAGGTAGGTCAGTTGTCTATACACACAAGCAAAGTTTTAGAAATAAATAAAAATGTACAGAGATATGTACAAAATGTACAGAGATATGTACACAAGTGTGGGGGTGGGGTGGGGTGGGGTGTGAATGATCCTGGTGAAATATACAATGTACACTCAAGCTGCAAATCGGTAACAGCAGTTAAAGACATATGATATGTCCGTTAGACAGTATATGAGTAGAAAATACTCACGCTAAAACTGTGTTATAAAGTCTGACAGCTGCTGGTAAGAATGACCTGCGGTAGCGCTCCTTCCTACACTGTGGGTGTAGAAGTCTATTGCTGAACGAGCTGCTCAGAGCTCGTACAGTCTCATGCAGGGGGTGGGGGGTGTTGCCCATAATGGATGACAGCTTAGACAGCATCCTCTCTTCCCCAACCTGCTCGATGGATTTCAGTGGACGGCCCAGGACAGAGCTGGCCCTCTTCACCAGTTTGTTCGGTTTCCCCCTGTTCCTCTCTGAAATTCCACCACACCAGCAGACCACAGCATAAAAGATAGCAGATGCTACCACAGTGTCGTAGAAATGTTGTCGGATGTTCTTAACCTGGGGAGTGGGGACTGTCTGTATACCAGTAAGAATAAAATAATACCAAGTCATACCAAAGCTGGGCCTCACTCTGCATTTGCTCTTACGGCTGTTACTGCTTTAACGAACAAGTTAGGAATCAGAAAAAAATACTTTCTCAGTCATTGAGGAGTAGAGCTAAGGCGGGATGTTCCATTTTATATAAGAGGGTGGCTGGAATCTACCAACGGAATACTCAGAGAAAGATCTGTATCACTAGGTGGATAGTTCCTGTATGATAGGGGGTATTTCCTGTCTGTGATCCCAAAGACATACCCTGTGCTGTAAGCTCTTCAAGCATGTGGTGTCTGCAGGCCTCACGGTACTGTGCCGCTGAGCAGATGGGGTCCGTATCGCACTCCGGCCTCCCGGCGTCATGCCGGGGGCCCCTGGCTGGTGTCCCCGCTCACGCCGGCCGGCCGCTTCCGCACTGCGCTCACCTCCCTCCGCTGGCCGCCTGCCCACTTCCACCACATGTGGAGCCCGATGCTAAGCTAACACTGCTAACCAGGGCTCATAATCACTGCTCATGGAGTTTGGGCCGTCCAGCAACCTCCCCGGTTCTTAGGGCCTGTGTCATGACGGTGTGTTCCTGGTCCCGCCTACATCTCAAACCTCCCTGTTCAGATAGGTTGGTTCCTCTTTCATCATCTCCTCTACAAGGCCTATCCGGACAAAGAAGAGAAGGCTGTTACTTTGAATTCATTGTACTTCTTGGTATTGCTATGTACTCTGATTGATTGTGCTTGACCCTTGATGGTGTTTGACACTTGATTTTGTTGTTGACTTTGGAACAGTCTGAGCTCTGCCACAATGACCAGCCATTACTCAGCAGTATGTTTTTGGACTGTGGGGGGAGGGGATGGAGTACCTAGAGGAAACCCCACCATGACACAGGGAGAACATGCAAATTCCACACACATGGAACCCTGGTGGAGACTTGAATGCTGGTCCTGGAGGTGTGAGGCAACAGTGCTACCCACTGTCCCATTTTGGGAATTCTAATTGATGTTGATGAAGTGATGTTGGTCCATTACCCAAAACTACGTCTGATTTACAGTGCCACTTGACTTTGGTATGTGCAGCAAACAGATATCCTGAAACCATTCCATTTAGCCCTCTCAAAGCTCCTGCTATAACAGAAACCCTCTTCAAGTTCTGTACAACGTTTGGTTTGCCAAAATACATCAAGCTTCTAGTGCAATACCAACCAGAATCACAAAGAGCTTTAGAGAGATTTCATCAGACATTAGAAACCATGCTTAGAACATACTGTTTGCTCAGAGCAAACATTGGCTTGAGTGAATCCCCTTTATTCTATTTGTCATCTATATCACGGTTTGGGAATCCCGTGGATTTAGTCCAGCTGAGCTGCTGTTTGGGCATTCTGTCTATGGTCCTTTATAAAGGCTGCAAGAAGAGCTTCTGTACTCAGATCAGTCATAAGAATGTCTTGGATTATGTCAGTTCATTTATAACAGATCAGGTTCTTGTTTTAATGCTGTCACCAAGTTCGGCTCTGCAGGCCAAGTTGCCAGTTCCTCATGTCCCGATCCAAATCTGAAACCTGCCCCGCTGCCTCGCCGGACTCTCCAGAACCTGCTTCTTCAGTGCGTTTGTCCCCACAGGAATGTGCTCCTGAGATGAATGGATTAGGAGATGCCCGACACAGAGACCATCCTGGCTTTCCCATCTAAACTCCCTCACTTGTCAGACTCAGCTCGGGATGGTGTTGAGGAGAGCACTCCTTGTTTATTATTAAGAATCATGTACTGTACATGCTATACTTTTATATGACCGGCAGTGCAGTAGGTTTGTTTATACCAGCACCACTGCAAACACCTGACGCACTGCGCTATGACATCACTAGGCGAGAGGAATTTTTCAGCTCCATTATAATCTTCTGGGACCACCGTCGTAAACGTTTCGTTGATTGAAACGTCATTATGCGGTGCATGACTGTAGCGTGACAAATAAGTGGCACCAATGTACAAGCCTAACGTTACATCTCTCGTGTCTTTGATACTATCCCACTGGAGCCGTAGACAAATTGAGAACAAATGTGCAGAGAACAGCATTTAACGAGCGTATGAGAAAATTCAAGACTAACGTATGACATATGCTATGAGAACTGTTAGACTTCTGAGGTAATTCTTAAGCCCCTGCCCTTGAACGGTAAAGTTTTAGCGTATCGGTGTGTGTGTGCGCAAAATGATTAAATTGTAAGAAATGTGTTACAGAACCAAGAGGAACATTTAACTGTCTGCAGAACCACGGTCACCACATTCCAGGAACCAGAGAGTTCACTGTATCTGGAGTTGTCGTTCCTCAACTGCAGGTGATCCCCGGGATATTAATGAGGTCTGCTCCATAATTTTGTGACTGCCTTTACTCCAGAGGCAAATAAGGTCATGGGAGTATAGGATATAGTCCGTCATAACGTTTTATATGCACATCTCCCTTATATTTTCTCAGTACGTTCAATGTTAGGGCTAAAATGATAAACAACTCAAACAGGGTGCACAGTCTACGAAGAAAATAATCCAATTTTCAAGCACAAATGTCAACACATTATTGTAATATAGTGACCATATTTTTGGTTAAACAAAACCAAAACTTAGAGCAGTGGATTCTGCTCTAATCTGTGGCTTTAACATCAGTGTCTTCAGTAGTATAATTTTGTTGTGTAATAGTTGATGAGCTGAACTGGGAAGCCCTGTACGAGAGGGCGTGATGACATCAGAGGCCCAGGGAAACCCCTTCGGCCCGAAGCGGAGATGGCAGGAAAGCACACAGACACACGGCTTCCCACAGAAGGTGTCAAACATATGAATCTTTATAGAAAAAATACGTCTCTTCACATTTCCAAAACACTTATTTTGTCTGTAACAGTTTCTGCTCATTTGTTCATTTACGCGGTAAATATTGAACAGGCCGACCGCAGCGGTTCAATGGCCTTGGGCTGCTGCACTGGCATGGCTCACTTTCCTGGGGCTGGTGGGGTGTCCCCCCTGCAGGAAATGGGGGCAAGGCCAGCAGCATCCTCACCCCTCCAAGCGCCCCCACGCCTCTGGCCCAGCCGGCATCCCTCGCTGGAGGCAGTGTGCTGACCCCGAGAAGGCGTCCAGCTCAGCGTATGGGCCGGTGCGGTCCAGTCTAATCCAGGAAAATGGCCTGAAGGCACCCATCAAAAGCACCATTTGGGGGGGGGGGGTGATCCACAGGCCCCCAATCCTCTGACATCCCTCGAGTACTTTGGCCAGGCACATGCTCACATTCCACACGCCGAAATATCAGCCCTTTTCATCCCAGTTTGCAGACCCGGGTGCCAGACACAGATTTAGGAGCACGGCAGGCAGTGAACCAGCAGTGAAGCAACCCCGAAATAACAAGAAAAAAAATGAAAAACACAGAATGGACACGCAACAGCAGTGAAAGAAGAAAACCGATGATAGGAGGGTTTGGGGCGAGCAACTTCGGCGCCTGAACGTGACGTGTGATGAGTATGACATAGCATCCTCAGCCCCGTGCCCCCCCCCCCCCCCCCCCCCCCCCCCCCCAGAAAAAACCACACACTCCCAGAAAGTCAGATCAGAGACTGAAAGGCAAATCTCAGGGCAGAGCGAGAAGCATTGGCTGTTTCACTCACACGCCGGGAGGGATGGAGAGCAGGATGGAGAGCAGGGGTGAGAGGAGCAAGCCGGCTCTGTGCAAAACATTCGCTCATTTGCTGGGTGAAACACGTAGTTCGGGTATGAGGAATGAGGCCGGCCTCTCTGTGAGGACGTTTCATTTGGGGGAGGGGGGGGCACACCAGGCCAACGCTCAGGCCGGCGTCCCCCCACCAGACCGGCTTGTCTCACCAAAGTGCTAACAAACGGGGTCTTGAGCCCATTCTTGTAGTGTAACGCTACTCCTGATCTACACACTGGTACTGACCCTCTAATCTCTCACTCCCCAGTGAAGGTGGTGCCGGGGTGGGGGTGTTCAAACAGACTAGTAATAATAATGGTGCAGGGAGATCAAAAGGCGACAGAGGAAAGGAGGGGGCGGAGGGCAGTTTGGCTGAGAGACATTCACGCGCAAGCCCTGGGTACCACAGCAGGCCGTGTGACTGACACAGGCTCGTAAACAGACCCACCAGCAGTGACATAAATAACAACAATAACAATGAGAATTGCACATCGGATGTCTACAGCATGACAACTGTGACAAAAAGTAAGAAAAAACGGAAAAAAAACCCAAAAACCAGATTGACCTTAGGGGAGGGGGCTTGTAGGCGATCGGCAGGGGCTTTGGCAACACTGGGGCACCCCCCCCCCCCCAACGCTCAAAGGCCTAGGAGATCATATATTGGGTGATGGCTCTCAGTGCATACAGAAGCTCCGCCTGCAGCCGCGCCTCCATTATCAGCAAGTTGATGTGGACCTATGGGATGAAAGGGGCGGGGCACAGGGGCACGGTTAAGCTCCGCCCACATACACCAGGAAGGAGAGGCAGAGTGCAGCGGACAGGCGACACCCTCCCCCCACACACACACACCTTCTCCCCAGGTTTGAGCCGCGTCCAGGGCAGCGAGCAGGGCGGGTTCTTGGTGGCGTCCGGGAAGCAGGAGACCGTCTTTATGTAGAGCTTCACCTCCCTCTCCAGCAGCCGGTTCACCTGACCGTAGTCGTAGTCGTCGTATCTGAGCGAGAAGACGACAAAAATCAGTCGCACACCCACAGGAGTCCCTGCAGACTGCATTCAGTCAGAGCAGAAAAATTAATTAACATTCCACTTAATTAATGTTTAATTAAATGTCAGATAGTAACACACACGTCGGCTTGCCCTATGTGTGCATCAAGGGGAGAATGCCTTGGAAAGGGAGTAACGGAGGGTCAGGAGTATTCCTGGATGATTCCTGGATGATTCCTGGATGATTCCTGAATGATTCCTGAATGATTCCTGGTCTTAGAGGAATGTCTTACGAGGAGAGGTTAGCTGAGCTGAATCTGTTTAGCCTTGAGCAATGGAGACTAAGGGGGGACATGATCCAGGTCTATAAGATTCTAACGGGTCTGGATGCCATTCAGCCAAATGACTATTTCAATATTAGTTTAAATACTAGAACTCGTGGCCATAGGTGGAAATTAGCAGGAGGGCATTTTAAACAGGATTTGATGAAGCACTTCTTTACACAGCGTGTAGTTAGAGTATGGAATAGTCTTCCTGCTAGTGTAGCGGAAGCTAAAACCCTGGGTTCCTTTACATCAGAGCTAGATAAGATTTTAACAACTCTGAGCTATTAGTTAAGTTCTCCCCAAACCAGCTTAACGGCCGAATGGCCTCCTCTCGTTTGTAAATTTCTTATGTTCTTATGTAATCAATGAGTATTAATGACAGTTGACAAGGGAGGATTAAGGGGAGAGGAGAGAGAAGGCGCCCCCTATTGGTGAGCCTCGAGCGGGAGCTCTGTGTGTGTGTGTCTGGAGGAGCCATCATCCACCATAGCGAGCAGAGAGACTGGCCCCGCCCACAGAGGCGGCCCCTTACCGTATACCCAGCATGCAGTGGATGTAGTTCCAGATGGCCCGCTTGAGGTCGGGCCCGCGGGGCGATGGCAGCGCATCCACCAGGCGGAAGCGCTCGTCCAGCAGGTAGCCGATGTCCGAGTAGAGCCGGTTCGCCAGCGAGAAGCCATGATCCTCCCAGGAGTAGTCCTGTGTTGGGGGCGGGGCACGGAGATGGGGAGGTGCCGGGTTAGAGGAACGTGCGGGTTCCACGTTCATAATACAGATAGACGGCACGGACGGACAGACAAAACACAGTCACAGCACAGCTCAGAAAGCATGGACAGACGGCACAGACAGCACAGCTGGTTCACAGCCCAGCGCAGGTCAGTCAGCCGCCCGGTCAGTGTCGCTTATATACCTGAACCCTGAAAATCTCAAAGCGATCCTGCTCCTGAGGGGCAAAGTCCTGATACCGGAACTCCGGGTCGGTGACGAAGCGGGTCGGCTCCGTGTCACATGTCACTTCCTCGTCTTCCTCATCTGGTGGGGAGAGAGCGAGGCAGAGAGTGGGTGTGTGTGTGTGGGGGGGGGGGGGTTGCAGAAAAGAGCAGGGGAGGTGGGAGACATGGGGAGGACGGCGTACCTGTCAGCAGGGATGTGTGTGAGCCACGCAGCCGCTCCTCTATCCTGTCCACCTCGCCCGTCACTCTCTGCAGCCGCTCCCTTAGACACACGGCCTCGTAGCTGGAGTCCAGGGACTGGGGAGGCAGACAGCCGCCATTTACCCAGCATTCCCCAGGAAAACACACCGCCGCCCAGTTTGGGCCACACCCATCTCCCCACTGAGACTCACCCGTCTTCGGGAGGTCCAGTCCGGAACAAAGGTTGGGGGACGGGCGCTGCCACTGCCGTTGGCCACCTCGCAGGGCCGGTGCCCCGGGGGGGTCCCACGCGGGGCCCAGGGATTGGCGGGCGAGTCGCGGTCCGCCCCGGAGCCGAAGACGAAGCTGCAGAGGGAGTGGCAGTGGGCCAGCAGGACGACGGCCTGCACCAGTTCAGCCAGCGACCAGCACTGCTCGCCCATCTTCAGCAGGTCCTGGAGGAGCGGGACACACCGCAACTGAACCCCAACGTCACCCGTGAGCACCACTCCTGAACACTGCAACACCACACCTGAACATGTCACTGCCTCTGAACATCATACCTGGATGCGGATCACCCCTGAATACCTCTGCTGAACACGGTCACCCCTGAATACCTGCATTTCACATCTAACACCAGCCCCCCCCGAGCACTGTACCTGGATGTGAGAGGGGGCGGTGAGCCAGGGCCGGTGGGCCAGCACCTTGTTGATGTGATCAAGGCGGCGCAGCCGGGCGGGGGCGTACTGCAGGCCCTGCAGCCACAGCGGGTCCCCCCCGACACGCAGGAAGTGTGCGGAGTGCCGAGACACCAGGTGCGTGCAGCGGTACTGGGCAGCCGCCTGTGGGGGGGGGGGGGGTCGGTCAAAGAGGAAACAGGCACTCGAGCGATGCCACCAAAGACGGCTAACGACACACAGCTTATTATAACGCTCATACACACACACGCCACTAGGGCGGCGCTAACGTACCATGATGGCGATGTAGTGGCGGTACTGCAGGGGCAGCGGCCCATCCATGTGCAGCACATAGTTCTGAGTGCGCAGGAAGCTCTCCAAGTACTGAGGGTGATAGGCCATTTGCTGAGACAGGGCATCCAGGCTCCCCCTGCTGGCCAGAGCTTTCATGCACAGCAGGGCCGCTTGCTCCTTCTCAGAGCTCACCTTCGCCACCTGACAGAGGCCGGGACACGAAGCAGGGGAAGAGTGAGGCGAAACCCAGCTATGTAACCATCGGCGACCTGAAAATAAGTTACACTTTATAAACAACAGGACTGTAATGCACAGAAGGGGAGGTAATGAGGCAGAATATGAGCGAGAAGAGAGGCAGAGATGGAGCAGGGAAAGGAGGGAGAGAGGAGGGGAAAACTGAGAAAGTCAGACCGCTGAGGTCTGGGTTAAGCTGGATCCAAAGTGGCATTTTAAAGAGAAATAGGAGGTGACAGACAGGAAGGCAGGGGGTACTGTAGGGTCAGGGGACGTGGTGTCACATGCTAGCTGCCAGCCTCTACAGACAAGCCCAGGTGCACAGAGCAAGCAGGAGCTCTGCTGACAGCCTTTCTATGGAATGCAATGACGCGTAGCTGTCAGGGCCCGTAGTTCCTCATTCTGGCCAGCAGGGGGCAGATTGGAGGCAGCTGATAGGACTAAAAATAAAGCTGAGAGACAGAGATATACTACGGTGATGTGTGGGACGTGCAGCGGGAGGTGGCAGGCCCAAAGGCACGCGGCCCCTGGGGCAGTTAGTCAATCATGGAGACTTCTAACGAAATGCCAGCAACCGGGGCTGTATCAATGGCGAGCAAATGGACGGAAATGTGGGCCGCTGGGCTCAGAGGCAGGTTCTGCCGCGCGGCTCTAAGGAGTAAAGCAGCAGCTCATCCCTCAGCTGTGCTGAACACAAAAAGAACGCCCTAAACGCGGCAGATTTACCTGCAGGAATACTTCCTGGTTCCCTAAACGGAAGTGTCTGACGTTCCAATTCCATCCTCGCAGGGGCACCAGTGACCCCCATCTCTCCAAACGCCACACTGCACATCACCCTGTTCACTCGAAAACACCATCCAGACTCTGTGCAGGTCGGCCTTCCCATTCGCTGCCGAAATGCCTGGCAAAGGTGTGGCAGCCTCTCATTCGCTGGCGGCTTTGCGCTCGTTTGGCTGCTGCACCCCAAGTAGCCATGTGATCAAAAGAGTGAGCCTGGCAAGGCCAGCCTCTATAAACCCGCAGATTTTGCAAAGGTTAGAGATGAAACTACACACAAGACTGCAAAACTGCACACAGGAATTGGGCACAAACATCAACTGGGGTCTACAGACTCAATCGCGTTTGACTCTATTGTGCTGCTAAAATAGCTGAGTAAACAAACAGCCGCCTGGGTGAAATTTCTCAGGCTTTCCAGCACGCAGGACCGAAATCCTCCGAGTGCTGTGAATATCAAGCAGACATGGCTGTGACGTCATTTCCTGTGTCTGCATAATGCCTGAAAGTTCCCTCATATACCAGTAAGTGATGCGAGACTCTCTTGCAACACTCACGTTAAGTTGCAGCAGCAGATTAGACTGGAATCTTTTGAGTGTGAAGAGTGACAACGATACGGAGTAATTTTAACACAGGAAAAAGCGATCAGCGCTGTACCAATCCTTCAGACCGGACACCCCAGGGAAAGTGATGTAATTGTTTGCTAGACAAACCATGGGCACGATTTCTGAAACAAGATACAGGTAAGACTGAAAGACAGCGGTTAGGGTGCATGCAATCCCCCAAGCCGGTTTCCAGCACGGCGGTCAGTTGGCACTGTCTGGCAAGCAGCAGGGCGCCGCCCACCACACGGCTAAACACGACTGCGTCACTCGCCCTTTGACTCGAGACACAACGGCTCGCAGATCAGCTGGCGGCTCTGGGGAACAGAGGAGCGTGTGTGCACAGACTCGCCAGGCGCCGGGATGGAGGCCCCAAACGATGCATGGCAAGGGCCCGAGCCAGGCTCCTCCACCAGCTCACCAGAGACATAAACAGGTGGTAGGAGGACGTCGGGGGAGGAGAAACCACACCATGAGGGAGGTGAAGGAGATACAGAGCAGAGGGGACGTCTGCGCCCCCCTGCTCGCCAGCGCCCCCTGCTGCCAGTCCCAAGTCATGCCCATCTCCTTTGGTTTTATCACAGCCATCTGGAACGGCGGTGCAGCACTCGCGGCTGCCGGCCCGCGCAGAAGCAGATATATGTAAACCTGCGCCGGGCCAGATACGGGAACGTGCCTGACACACAGACAAGGAGCGGCCTCCAGGCGGTCCCCAAACCATACCAAGGCACAGCCCTGCAGAGAGCACAGCTAGAAGCACGGCCCTGCGGAGAGCACAGCTAGAAGCACGGCCCTGGATCCAGGCCAGAGCAGCAGTAGCAGACTGACAAGGAACTTCACGTAAAAATCAACAAAACAAGCCGCTTAAATATAGAGTGTCTCCTAAGCTGGGAAATCAAACAGACAGATGGGGAATTATCAAATGCTGAATCGCTGTCTCTGCAAGCTGCCACCTGATTACAGCTTGGCTTTTTACTCCAAACACACAGACACATGCACCAACGCAAGGGCCACCGGGCAAAAAAAAATGCGAGCAGACTTCAGAGGACACTGACCTGTCCACACCGCCAACACAGGCTCTGATCGCGGATCTGTTACTGCCCTCTCCTCTCTGTAAGCCCCTACGAGAGGCGTACTGAGCGCCCCAGTGCTTCTGCACGCCTAAAAGCAGCTGCAGAGTGACGTGACGCTGGCCTATCCGGTGACCAGTGCCTCCGATAAGCCACATTTCTGACAGATGTTATTTCTGCTCTTCGCCTTACTGCTGACAGAGAGGGAGTGGATCCGTCCGGAGGGTGACTCCTTTGCACCGAATTATCTCTGCGTCCTGTGCACCCCTCACCCGCACAGTAAATGCGCCGGCTTTTCTCGCGATCTGATCCCACACGCGGCAAAATGACAGACCGTGCCCACACGAATGCATATCTACCGCAGCACGCCGCATACTGCACACCCACCCAGTCGTCCCAGCAAGAATGCTTAGAAGTATAACTGGAAAAAATGCAACTTCACCCCCCTCAAGGACTGAGTTGTTCAATTCTGATAATGTCAACTATAAAAGGGCAAGAATTTTCACAGTTAAAAAATAGGGGGGCGGCTGAACAAACCTGACTGCCTGACAGAAATGCAAGACACACGCCGAAAAAAGACAACTGCAACACGCAGAGGTCAAAACAGTAACAGACAGAAGGAATGGGCAGCATCACTTCTGGCTTTCCTCTATTGTCATCCTCCACGTTAAAATCGCGGTAAACAAGTTTCTGTGTCAGCAGCGCTGCTCCCAGACAAGATGCGGAACTGCACCCTGGTCAGGAGAAAAACAACTTTGATTGGCAGTACATTCAGCATCACAACACACAAAGAGCAACCAAATGAAGAGTGTGGAAAAGAAGGCATGTTCAAAAAAGCCAAAGGCATCAAACTCTGCTTTCCCCTCTAAATGGGAAATAAGATAATATCAAGTAATGCATCAAAGTACCGTCTTCGCGTTCAAAGAAACAGCCGTCATACTTCTGCATTAACGTGCCCAAAACCCATCGAAAAAGTGCAAGATGTGAAGACAACTGGGAAGGTTGTCATGGGTGATGGCGACGTGAAGCGGCGCACTCCTGAAGAGGTGACGTCATACTGGCCCTTTCAGGCGACAAACACGAGCAAAAGCGCCCTGCCTTAAGAATGACCCAAATGCGCCCAAGTTTGATTAGTCTGATTGGCAGTACATCCAGCATCACTAAACAGAATAATTTGTCGATTTGTACGTGCGATCGGGAGACTAATAGGTAAGCTGGGAGATTTCTGTCCCTTAAACACCGAGGCAGCGCCGGCATGCAGACAGAGGACAGCGCAGTCACAGATGCACGGTACTACTCCTTAGATATGAGTGAAAAGTCCCACCGAGCCTTGCACTCTCTTCTGATGGGGGAGGGGTGTTTGGGTCATTTTCAACTCCTTTGTATCACTCCTGTCCAGCTATAGGAACATTTAGATATCTATGTTCATCCGTTACGATTTTGAACTAAATGGGCTTCATAAGTCCGGTGTAATGTTAATCTTAATGTAATATGACTGCGTACCTGTAAGTCATTTTCGAATCTTGTCAGACTAACATCTTCCCGTCTGGGTCTCACGCAAAGCCGCAACTTTTTCGCCCAGACGCGTCACACGAACGGTAGAGCCAAACAAAGACTGATGTTTCTTCCAGAACAACTTCAAGATAGCAGGTTCCCTATATTAAGTTTTCATACGACTGACAAACAAGATGGGGTCTTTCGCAACATTATTGATAATGCCAGAAGTCAAGGCTCTAGGTAGGAACAAGGGACATTATCAATATGACCGCCGCTCTGCAACAGTATCTACTGTAATCTTAATGTGAACTATGGCACGTAAAACGTGAATTGTAAGAAATGTACGGTATTTAGTGATGAGCCCAGGGGAAGGCTGGCTGTTTTGCTAAACAACAAATCCGTTAGAGTTTGCCCCCCTCCCCCTTCCCGCAGCCAGCCATTTCGCCTTTTTTCGTTTCTCGACTACTTACATTGTTTCATCATGTAACCCTCCCGTGTCCAGCCGCACTTACATGACTTTCCTCTCCCGGAGCACTAATGATCGTCAACTCTCGCTCACGTAGCGCACGATTCTCTCCGTAGGTAGAGCGCAGTCCTGCCCGCCGGAGACGCACCATCCGCACGGTTGACCGAATGAATGAAACGGGCAGCCGCTGCCAACTTCGGCGCTCCACTTGAAGAGGAAGCGCTTCGGCCGCTATTTCCCCCGAGCGACAAGACGCCCACTATGTCGCTCCGTTTTTACAGATCACACTTTATGACATCTGATATTAACGCGCAGTCACTCATAATAATGCCACTCGTCGACAGCACGGGGAACAATAATATGATTAGGTTTGTACCTGGTTCTGGACGCGCTGGCATTGAGTTCCGAGGGGATAATCCATTTTATTCGTACAGATGATCATTTTCCTCCAAATTAGTGCATGGATACGGCTTCTCTAGCTGTTCAATAAGTAACAAAGAGCAAACGCACCCCCCACCAAAGCAGCCTAGTTAGGTGGCTTGCTGGCTCAGGATACAAGTCTGGGCATTTACAGAACAGGATAAGGGGGAGGTAGAATAACTATTAGACTGACAGCTGAAGTCAGCGAGCGTCCAATCATAACACCGCGAAGGCGGATCACGGCGTAAGGCACCGGCCAATCAAGTTGCCGAGACTAATTTTAAGGTCAAGACACGTGTGCGCATGCGTGTACGGGTGTGAGCTCCAGCCTCTGATAGCCCAATCAGCTGTGGGAAAGCCGGCCAGCCGCCGGAGCGCCGCTGCTTTTGCAGACTCGACGATCCGTGCGATGGGTCCTGCTTTTTCCGCCGTGAGCTAGTGCAGATCAAACCCACATTTAATATCACGTCCAATATAATGTCCCCTGCCGTGGGCGAAGCTGCCTTCACATTTTTTACATGTTTCTACTTCAGTGTTCATTGTGGTGAATAAAGCACTTCTTATGTTTCAGACAAAAAGCAATTGTAGTTATTACTGCCGGCCATAATGAGTTTGTTATTTCTACAGTTATTACATTGCCTGTTCTTACCCCCAATGAAATGTAATTACACTGCACGGTAAGTATTGTAGACCTCTGAATAAGATCCGGTTTAATCGATATTTATTAAATAATACATACCAAATATCAACAAGCTACACAAAATCGTTCAATGAGAAATCTAAAAGTAAAAGGGAAAACAGCATGTTTGTAACAAAAAAACAGTGATTCACAGCAGGATATAAAGCCCCAGAAGACTGATGACACAGCATAGAAATCCCTGCCACAAACAAGGGAAAGAGAGGACTGGCGAAGTTCTGGAGAGTACTAGTCATTTTTCCCGACAAACCTTCAACAATTGCTGATATTAATGTGCTTTGGAAAGCCGTTTGCAATGAATCCTATCGCTGTATCGTACTGCTGGATTTAACAGTTTTGTCTTTGCTCCTATCTGCTAAAATATTTTTAAAATATCTTATTGGTAATTTACAGGTATTCAGGAAGCCAGTGACAGTGTGAATCTGTTATGCAGGTATGCATCACAGTCAATAAAGGTGGGAAAGAATCCTTACAGATCTCCTCCTTCCTCAAGCAAACACCCTCATTCTCAGTTAATGGTCATTTGGTTTAATCAACAGTATGAATTAATGGTTTGGTTACTTGACGGTTTCAGTTTATTTTATTTGTTAGGATGTTTCCGCAGAGACAGGCATGTCTGGGCATGTCAGCTGAGTTTCTCAGAATTGCTCACCACACATCTGTGTCAGAAAGAACTGGAATAATAGCCAGTAAATAACATGGCAGACATTATCATTGGTGGGGTTTCTACAAGGAAACTATAAGATGGAAGAAATTTTTTGGCAGTGGCTTCTGTTTATCCTGTTAAGGGTCACAGGAACATATGGGTTCAAGGCAGGGAATAACCCAGGATGGGGCACCAACCCATCACAGGGCACCAACCCATCACAGGGCAAACTCCCACACATTCACTCACACATGGACAATTTGGTAAATGCAATTAACCTCAGCATGTTTTTGGACTGCAGGTGTAAGTAAGGTGGATACTTTAGGCATGACATTGGCTGCACTCTGCTCTATGGTAATAGATTCTAGGTTTGTTTACGTTTCACCATGTATTCATTGATTAGTTTTTAGATGAGATGTATAATTGGGCTGTTAACAGGAAGGAGGGCTACAGTATTTCTCAGGTGTGTTACATTAGGGCTGCGGTATCTGTCTCAGGTGTGTTACATTAGGGCTACGGTATCTGTCTCAGGTGTGTTACATTGGGGCTGCGGTATCTGTCTCAGGTGTGTTACATTAGGGCTACGGTATCTGTCTCAGGTGTGTTACATTGGGGCTGCTGTGAGCTCTGCTGGGTGGTGAATCTGCAGGAGCAGGGTCAGCCTCCCCTGCCACAGGCTCTGTGCTTCATGCCACTTAAGCCGCTTGGAAGATGGATAAGTTATGGATTTTATTGATGTCCGCAATAGCGTATCATCTTCCCTCTGCCTGCCAGACAGTTTGCGGTCTGGTGGCTTCTGGTGCAAGAACCTTTGATTGGCTGCCAGTTTTCTCTGTATCATTTTTATGACATGTGTCCAGCGGCACCCCCCACATCCGGCATTTGCTGCAGTCCGAGAAAGAGAATTCTAGAAATAAACAATTCACAAGTTTCAAACTGCACGCCAAGCGAATACAGGCAGTGACATGGTGAAATCCACCAGCCCGGTAGTAAAGTCTTACTGTGCGTAATTTATCAATGAAACTATACCATGAAAATCACGTACATATGTGATCCGCTGATGGGTCACTGCTATCCGCGGTTTCGGCGGTACGTCTTGGAACATACCACCCGAAGATACGGGGGGGGGAGCTACTGTGTGCCTGTGTGCGTCAGCTGTCGGGGATTTTAGGGGAGATTTACCTGACAGACTTTGCACTCAGATTCTGTCAGCCGTTAATTGAAAGGTTTTAAATAGACTCACAGGCCAAGAAAGTGTGCAGGGTGGGGGTGGGGGGGGTCATCTCATACACCTCAGCATTAACAGTGCAGGTCATTCCAGGTCCTGGCAGATCAGTCATCACGTTTGTCGCAAAACATCCAATAATGACCAGTGGCACTGGGAGCTGGGTAATGCCATCAGCTGCGTGTTTCTGCAGTCAGCCAGTATGCGCTAGATCACAGGCCGCCGGCGTGTTTTTGGGGTGAGGGACAGACAGGAGGGATGCAGCGCTGTCCACTGATACACCACAATATGTGAAAATTGCATGAATCGCAGAAATCGGAAGAGTGTGAAATAAACACCTTCGGTTTACCTGGGTTATAAGCCAATATAGTGATTCATGATATTGGATTTAAACACTGAAACATTTTAGCCCATGACAAGTGTCCGTACAGCAAATCCAACGTCAGTTCATTCCCCCGGAAACAGCACGATCTCTACCCCTCCAAGTAAAATGGACAGGGTCTGTGAGCATGAATTACATTTATTACCACCGTTTTGTTCAATAATCAAGGTTGTGGCCACTGTTAAATGTGGTCTTAAGTCACGTGGATCCAGTTGGAATTAATACATCAAAGAATTTCTCCTGAGGTTATGTATACTGTGCATGGGTTGTAAATAGCACATTAAGTATGTGTGTATATATATATATATATCTCGTTTCCATAACAACTCTCCCCCCACCAGTTCAGGGTGATGGGTGACCCTACAACATGACCCAGGAAGCCTGGAACATGGCAGAGAGATCCCTCCTGAGGTTTCAGTCCACAGGCTGAATCACCTAGACACAGCGTGGGCGGAAACATGTATGAACCCCACAACCACCTGGGGTGGGATCTGAACCCACAACCCCAGCGGCGTCCGACCACAGTGCTGCTCATTGAGACACCTCACAGTAAGCACCCGTTTATGTATTTTACAGAGCAGCACAAGATAGGTCAGATAAAGCACTTTAATGTGGGTGATTCAGTAATTGGCAGTGTTAGCAGGCGAATGCAGTTTTAATGTCACAGTATATTGTTCAAGGGATTTAGTTATCTTAGAGAACACACAGAATTGGCTGCAAAGATCACAACACGAAAATGGCCAGAACTTGCCCAGTACTGCCCCGGGTTCTTCACCACGCAGTGAAGAATGACCTGGTGCCATCATTCTCAGATTAAAAGATCTGACAGTATTACATTAAAATCCCTTTTAAAGCTTGTTTAGTTACACCGAACGTTCCTAAATGTATTATGAAGCCTGCAGCGTTAGTGGTTTACATGCCTCCCATAAAAACTAAATGCATCAATGAACCGTAATTGATATTATCGCCCAAGGTCTACATAATGCAGGCAGCGAGATGCCAGAAGAACAATCTGCACAGCGTGCCACAGCAAATACACACAAAAAAAAAAAGTCTACATTATATAGAACAAAATATGCCTTCTAATCTAATTTTGTGGTCTTGGAAAATCAAGGGTTTAATCAATTCAAGCGCTGATTCAAATGCTCGAGGTTTTCGGGTTGCTTTGAAACGCTGCAGGACAGTGAATTTGAGGAGAGCAGCTGATTCGGTGTTTGTCTGTGTCCTGCAGAAATACCGAGCTTGTTCCCGAACAGGCTGCATCGCTCATGACCGTGTTAAGCTGAGAGAAGTTTGTTGTTCTTCTTGTCTGACAGGTCAACAGATGCAGCCTCCATGGACGGAGAGGAGCCAGAGACGCCGGGATGGAAAGATACCACTTTGTTTTAAACGATACCTTTTGTTGTGTTGCTGCACTGAGGCCCCAGTCGCTTAATACAGGCCCATTCATTTTTCCTCAGTGTTTTTTCTATAAACACAAAAAGCCAGTCTTGTGAAATGGAAACCTTCCCTCTGGCCGCATGCTCTATTTGTGTGGGGTTAGTGTTT